TTTCGAGTTTCCTGTGTTCCAGCGTGTGCAAAGATCAGCTGGTCTTCGAACCAGCTGGTCTTCGGGTTTCCGGTGCTCCGGTGCGCACACATGCACACAGTTGCACACGCCTTCCAGTTTGGTACTTGGTGCCAAACAAGTTCACCATCACTGTTATAGGCATTTCTGATTATAGCCATGTTGACATTTTGAAATACACAGCTGTTGGCAGGTGCTCCTAGCATAGATAGCCTTACTTTTATTATCTAATGGGAAGATCGAAGATGATATTGTCAGCAGAGAACTTTTGTTCTAATTCCAGAAAGTTCAATATATAAATCCTCTTCCAATCATCACAGCATAGATATTTTCCACCAATTCCATATTCATTGGGAATAATTTTGAGAAAGAACTTTTTGAAATGTAAAATTGTATCAGATGCTTTGTGTATTACAAATTGGTTATTTAATACTGAACATTATTGCTGTCACCCATTTACTTGCCAAATCATATGATCAGTGACAATGGTTGCTTTCATCAATAATTACCATAAAATCTTACTTGTTCCAGAATGACTGGTTTGATTTATATTAACTTGGAGAAACCTGTTGAAGATCATTTCATTCCTGTTTGGAAGTATTTCCTTTAATTTTGCTTTTTGACCTACAGTGAAATCATCAATAAATAATTCTTAAAATGTGTTAAAAGTTAAGCTAAACAACAGTGAATAGTGTTAAAGGTTAGATGTTCCTAAAACTGAATCACGGGATAAACATCTCATCTTTTTCTTAGATGGACCCAACTAGGGAAAAGTTCACATGAAGTACATCCCATAATAACAAAAAAAGGTGACCTACAAGATTTCCTACAAGAAAATTTGTTTTCTAGTATTTATTCAGCAAGCAAAGGTGCCAAGAAAATTAATAGCAAAATAAATAAAATGACTGGCTGACACTGAACTTCAAGTCAATTAATCACCATTTATAAAAGTATGTTGTATGAATTTGTTCCATATAATGCATTTATGATTTAATTTGTTTGGTTAATTGTGTGATCCATTTTTAAGAACTACAGATAAATGTGATAGAGAAGGCTTTACTCTAGAAATACATATACATATACACATGACTCTTCTATAGCTAAATCTAAGGGAATACATAGTAACCATTGTTTTAGATTAACATAGTTAGCATTACCTGGTACTGGAAATTATTCTGTATTTGTATAACATGGTAAACTGCACATGAAGCACTACCTGTGGTTAAGGACAAATGTTAAGCGATGGTGTGTATTCATTTTAACCAACTAGAGTGGATCGTCTTATAAGCCACTTATTAAATGTGATATAAACCAGGCATTAAACTATGGTTTGCTCAATCATGATTTACAGATCTTACCAGCTTTTTCTCCTCTTTCCCCTCTTTTGTGCAATTTGCACACTTACTTGTATCCCACTCCCCTTTCTCCTTGTAATATTCTGGCTGAAAAATACCTACATCTGGTATAGGATTTTGACTTGATGATTTGCTAGACCCTAAAGCTTAATCTCCAGACTACAATGTTTTCTGACAATGCGCTAAACCCTCCCATCATTTGTCTTAGTGCGTTGTGCCAACACTTTCTAGGGCAGTGTGTCATGGGGACCCTGTCACTTGATCCAGACTTGTTTATGTTTATTACATCATAAACATCAAGTCCACACAATGCCCTTTCTTTTTCTTTTGAAGTTTTAGTAATAGTTTTACAGCTAATCTTAACAAGGAAAGCAAAGTGGCAAGCCATGTTGCACAATGTCCTTCTGAACCTTTGACATATTACTTTGCAATTCTCTGGAACACTTGGAAAGTTTACAAGGTATTGCAAAAGACAGTCAAAACTGTAGTTGGAAAATAACCAGCTCCCTGGACCCCTTGTGCTTATACAGACTGAACTATAGAAGGAAAAAGAGACACCTGTAAACAGCTGTAAAAAGCTAAGGAAGCTTTCTTTTGGCCCTCACTAGTACCTTCAAGGGAACATCTTTTTTGCTTTGCTGATGTTTGCTATAGCAGCTCTTAAACCTTTGAAAATTACTGGCTAATCTAGCCAACTCTCTATACTGAACTAATGAATGGAGAGACAAGCCCTTATTGCAAGCCAATATCATCTGTATTTCAATACATTTCAATACACATTCAGGTTGATTGGAGCATTGTGTACATTTGAGTAAGGAAGTTATATTTCTTCCAACTCTCCTTTTTTGAAAGAGCAAAAAGATCATTTTCTTTTTAAAGAAAAGAGAGAAGTTGAGAATTGAGGCTAAGAAGAGGAAAAAGGTTTGTTTCATCTCCCCAACAGCCAAACTGTCTGGAATCCTCAGGGATTTGGGAAGAGACCCAAGAATAATTGGAACAGAAGGAAATCTGGTTCAGAAATAACAGCTGCATTTGGACTACAAAATAAAATATTCACTAGAAATACTGTGTATAATTATTTTCTCTTTTGTCTTCGTGTGTTTCAGCCCAATGTATTTTCTCTGGTACTTTTAGTGCATGCTTAGCAAATGGCATATTTAATGCAATTGGGAAGTTCTGTACAACAGGAGCTGCCTTTAAAATAGGAATAGACAGCATCAACTTTTAATAAATTGAGGCCCTCATATTTACATTTTTTGATTGGACATCGGTTTCAAATTGCCACTAAGATTTGAACAATTTATCTCTCTCGCTAATGAATGTTTTACTTAGGAGAAAACCAGAGTGAAAAATTTAGATTTTTCCCTTCCCTTTTTTTTTTAAAAGAAAAAGATGGAGTTTGATTTTATTTGTCTCTTGTTAAATAGGTCCAATTCCCAAATGGGGCTGTGGGAAAGCTGAGTTCCCTAGCCACACACCTAATACTACAAAATGATTTATTTCATATTTATTTTTCCATTGAATTTTCCAGGATATTTCTTTGGAATTTTGAAAAGAACCAAAATCTAATATCGTTCCAAAGGTGATTTTTCAAGAGGCAAGTGGACTTTCTGGTTTTTCTTTGAAGACGTTTCACTTCCCATCTAAGAAGATTCTTCAGCTCTTGGATGAGAAGCGAAATGTCTCTAAAGAAAAACCAGAAAATCCAGCTGCCTCTTGAAAGAGCACTTTTGGGACAACCATGACCTGGATGACGGAGAATCTCCATAGACAAAACTTAATATCCTTTACATCATGTCATCCTCTGAAGGTCTCATTCTATTACTTGTTTACTATAATGGATCTCTTTGGGAACTATTAAATGATAGCTTTGAAATCCTGGCAATTTCTAGGTATAGTAGCAATCTGGTTATATGGAAGGCAGACATATTTGAATGATATTGAGTAAGAAATTAAAAATGATCCTGTTGCCATAAGATATTGAATCTTTAAAATAATTTTTATTTTAAAATGGCAAATAAAATCTTTTCTTGGAAATTATGGGTTGAAAATGAGATAGTTACTCTTAATCAGCTAATCACTAGTGATTTATAAACTTTTGAAAGGTTACAAAAAGAATATAATTTGCCAAAAACAACTGAATGGCAATACATTCAGCTGAAACATTTGTTCTTTGTTTGGGATGAACCAGATACATTGGCTGCCTTGCAAACTCCTATGGTTTTGAATGTTGATTTTAGAGGCTAAAGCAACAATTAAATTTTAATGACAATTGAAAAAGTTACTAAAATAAATATGGACAATATACAAGAATTTGTAATAGAGAACTAAAGTTTCCTACATTAAAATATTAGTGTTCTCACATTTTAAAAGTTTTTTGTTTCTTATGATTTTAAAACAATGGTTCTTTTTAAAAATTACATTTTTTACCTTTATGTTAAAGATGCAATAAAAATGTAAAAGTTAAAACATGTATTTTAACTATTCTTTTCATAGCTTCTTATTATTTAAATAGTCTCACTGTGGTGAACCAAATTCTTGGAAAGAAGTTCAGATGTTAATGTGTTCTTAAATTATATTGTATAAATTTGGAAACAGTGTATTTCTGAAGAATGTTGGATTTATCATGGGGTTGTTGCCCCAAAGGCTTTATGTGTTCCCCAGAGACACTCTAAGTACCAGACAGCAAAGGACGACTTGATGAAATGTGTCAACTATGGCCTTTATTGGCATAGGCAACGGGATAAAAGAAAAATCCAGATGATGGCCACAAATATATAAAATCCTGATTCTTTTACATGCATCGTGGCTCATATAAAAAGCTTCAGTCATGCAGCCACTATCCTTACTTTTTTTGACAGTAAAGTATGGTGGACTTTGTGGATGCTTAGCCTGGACAATATGATTCCATGTGGCAAATTTCAACTTATTATTTAAAAATGGCCTTGTAGCCATAGAGACAAATCTATTGTTGCATTGCTATTGTTCTATTTGATTTTTAAAAAATATTTCTTTTGTACTTGTTTCCGATACATTATGTGAAGACAGTTTTGTTGAAGGCTGTAATGCCGGGAAAGGTGGAAGGAAAGAGAAGAAGAGGACAACCAGCAGCAAGGTGAATGGAGTCAGTTATGATGGTGATGGGTCCCCCATTGGGAGATCAGGCTAAAGACATCATCATAGAAAAAATCGTATCTATGTGGTCCCTAGGAGTCAACACTGATTTGATGTCACATAATCCATCAACTGTACTTGTATTATTATATTTTGTACATTATACCACAAACAATTGCATATTTTGTCTATTGTCTATTATGTTAGTTTGCTATATCTGTTTTTAAAATATCCTGCTGTCTTCTATTTCTAGAAGACATATTTTCTTTGGAGTTATAAATACAAAGTTGGCTGCTTTGGCATGCAGTGCATAGCTTGGTTCATCTAACCATGGCTTTTTAATTAAGCCTGTTTTCTGCATTCATTCCACCTGCTGAATTACCCCCTAATAGTCTGGCTTCTCCCAACATGCTAACCTGAAATGCAGGCCAGGTAAAGTTCAAGCAGATAAAATTCTGGTTGCATTTCTCTAGTAGAGAGGGAGAGAGAGAGAGAGAGAGGGAGGAAGAGGGGGAGAGAGAGAGAGAGAGAGAGAGAGGAATATTATATCTAAGCCTGAGGCAGACAAGGAATGAGCAACCTGGGAACCAAGATGGCAAATGATGCTGGCATAAAGAGTAGCTCCTGCGCAGCATTTGCGCTGAAACGCGTCAGTCTTTAGGGCCTGGAGGTCTGTCGAACCGGGCGGCTGGTGGCTCTGACTGATGCCCGAACCTGAAAAGAGCAGCATGGCAGCCGCTGCAGAAGGCGGAGCCCGGCCCTGACCTGCGAGCATCACAACAACCCGCTCCCTCATCCGATTTGAGAACTGAAGATTTTCCAACTCCTCTTTACTTTCCCCCCCGATTCTCTAACACTCCCGCCCCTGCCCCTCTATGCCTCTGCCTTCTGGTGCGTGCACGGGTATTTGATGGTGCATCGCTCTCCCTTGATTGTGTAAGGTGCGCGAGGATCCCACGCACCGAGATCTGGTCGCCATGGAGTACATCAGAATGCCCAAGGTTAGTTCGGTGCCGGAAAGACGGAGCGGAAGGGATAGAGGCTCGTCTTGAAGAAGCTGTGGGATCTGGGGCTTCAGGATCTGGCGGGTGGGGGGCAGGGAAACGGGAGAAAGGATCAATTACCCCTCCCCCTGCGCGTGGGATTCCAGGATGGGGGTGAATTAATCTTCACCTACACAACGAAGAATGGTGGAAAGTTGCATGTTTAAAGAATCCATTTCTCCCCCCACTCAGGTGAGACTGCTGCTCAGGAGAAGGGCCTTTTAACTCGGAGGTGCATTCCAATCAGATCATATTCTTCACATAGTTGGAAACAGAATTGTGCTTACTCATCCCTTGCCTATAATAATGCAGCATCAGCCTGCAAGCAGGGAAATGATTTCCCCTCCTTTGATCTCACTCTTATTTGAAATCGAGATAGAAAACCCCCTCCCTTCCAGGGAGAAATGATAGGTGAAAATGGAATTATATTACAAAAGCGGTTCCTGATTCTAGGTCAATAGAATAAAAATGGATTCCTGGAAGAGTATCCCTGAATCTGATGAGCGATAAGAGTTTATTTTCGTGACATTTGATTAAATTGGGCTGTGCATTGATAAACACTTTTAAAGTTTTAAAATCTTATTTTACAACTGATTGTATATGATAAGTCCTAGTAGAACATAGGTTTGAATAATGGTTTCTTGTCTTAGGGGTTATGGCATTAGGCCTCTGGCTTCTACACATGAAATGTGATTTGAACATAGAAGAATATAGTGGTTTGCATTTAAAGGCATCATCTTGACATTTTTTAATCTCTTTCTCTGGCTTATGCCAAAAAGGCATAATTTTAAACTGATTCTTTTCTATGATTATGTTCCATTTGAATAAACTCAGTAAAAAAATAGAAGAGAATCCCATCCCTACCCCAGGAAGTAGCATAGAAAATATTTTGCCTTAATAAAAATCAAGCATTTCTTAAAATTGGAACACTAATTTAGGAACACTTAGATGTACTTAGGATCTTTCTGAGACCTACTGTTTTATATTGTTTTATTGATTGTAAGCCAATAAAAGGGTTCTTTTTAAAATGGGTGGATATATCAATGTTTTAAATGAATAAATGAACTGAAAGTACAAGATTTTAAAAGTAAAGCATCCATCTTCCATTGACTACTATCATTTTTGCTATGGCCTGCTCTGCTTCCATGCTATGGGCGTAGATTAGATATGAGATTTAATGTAAAGAAACAAATATAGATTTAAATGATTTTAAACCACTAAAATAATTTAGAGGGTAAAAGCCCTCGGAACAACAGCAAAACACTAAAACAACTATTGATAGATGTAATCAATCACTAGCAGTAGGGCTCATAATTGAACTGCAAAATCCAAATGATCTGTAGATCGTGATTTTCTTTTTTTTAGTTGCAAAACTTTTTTTAAACAAAATATAGAACCAATGAAGAAAAGGAAAAGCTCTAGTGATAGAAAATTGGCTGTATTTGAATGATTTTTGTTGTCCTTAGTCCTTCATGGAAGTTCATCAACTTCCTGCAAAATGGTAAGATTTTGTGGAACATAATTTGAAAGACTCAGCACTAAATAACAGCAAAGTGGCAAAGGAAACTAACTCACTTGTTCATTCTGGTAGCCCCAGTATGATAAACCCCATGGTAGCTTAACTTTAAATGACAGCAAAATTGAGGGACAAGTAACAAATTGCATACAATATCTGCCCTATGGCTGTGCCTGAGATGCAGGCTATAATTTGTTTTGAACTGGTGAATACTGTGGCTCTGAAGTTCAACTGAACTGTTGAGGGCAGGTCCTGACTTGGTCTATTGACCTTCCCAGCACCTCAGTCACTATGAAATCTGACATGGCATAGCTATCTCTCCCGCCCCCTCGTCTCTACCCACCTCCTTTCTATCTGTCACATTCCTTTTCTTCTCCTTAGAAGTGTGTTACTCAGCACACATTGCCACCAATACGGTTGCCTTTTATTCTGTTCTGCACATTCTTAATCACTTAGGTTTGGCATATTTATGTTTTGTGTCTATGCCTGGACCAAACACATGTGGTCTACATATTTTGGTCTGGAGAAAGCCACCTAAAATGGCTGTTCCATGCAGTTTGGACATTCCTGATCAGCCAGTGTTGAAAATACTTTGCTCGGACCCAACAGGTAGAGAATGCCACCGGTGACACAGCTATTTAACGTGATTTCCACAAAGGAGTCTAAATGCCTCTCTAGTGTGTTGTAGAGTGTAGTAATAATAACATTAAGAGTTTATTTGTTGCATCTGTTATTTAATATTCCAGCCTGTGTGGTCAAGTTCATACAGTTCCAGGTTTTCTCCTACCCCTTCCTATTTCTTACTAGATATTTAGGTCAGTAAATGTCTTCCTCATCTCAGTTATTTCCAGATGCTGGGAATAATTTAGATAGTAAATGGAATCCTGAATATTTAAAAAGTACCACAATGGGAAGACTTCGGGGAAAGTATATAGAGCATCATAAATATTTACATCTATAGTGGTGAAGAAAATTGGAATGCCTTTCTCAAACTAAGCCTTTAAGACCCACTTCATGAAATATGATTTTAGAGCATTTAAGAATTGACCAAGTTGCTTTTTCAAAATATTTGTGGGAAACTGTAATGGGGAAGTTCATAGTTATAATGTTTCTGAAGATCATCTTTCAGGGACAATTTTGGAAATGAAAGGTGGGCATAAAAAATGATGGTTCTTCTTTTTTTTCTTGTAGAGAAAAATCATAGGAAGTTAAAAATTTTGGCAGCCTCTGATTGCTCATAGTTTACTCCAAAGAGAAAGTAAAGAGAGAAGCACCAGTGTTTTGTGGCTACTTTTTGTTTGTGCATTCTGACCAGCACCATAATAGGTTCCTTCAATCTGATTCCCCTCATAATACCTTGGGCTTACAAAATGCCACTTTGTATAGCTGATAGATTGGAGAAAAGAAGGCATTGCCAAACCACTTCTGTATTGTTGTTTAACAAAACAAACAAACAAACAAAAAACCCTAACAACCTTACATAAACACATCCATGAAGTTACCAATTTATTATGTTTGAAGGGAACTTTATTTATAGCTAGGGAAAGTGATTGGATGAATATTCCTCTTGAATTCTGCTTTAGGTGACTGTGAGGCTTTGTTTACTCGAAGACTAGCACATAAATTTCAAGGACCCAGCTCTTGATAAGAGGGCTATGAGAGATACTAGAGAAACTACTAACAATAAAGTAAAACAGCTGTTACAAACTGGAAACCTCAAGCCATATAAATGCACCAGTTCTAAGTTTAAAATCTTGTCATTTTTTTTGTCTTAATTGTACATTGCAATAGGTTGAAAATTGATTGATAGCTGGACATTCTTATTTTTTAAAAATTGTATTAGAAATTACAATAGAAAAGAATAGAAACTAAGCAAACTGCAAAAATGAAAAAGAAAAGATAAAAATAGTGTGAAAAAGAAAAAAGAGACTTCTCCCTTCATTCCAACAAATACCCAAATTTATGTAAATTTATTGCCATCTCTTAAGTTACTGTAAAACATATATTCTTTTCACCCTATATCTCTTAGCTAAAAATAAAAATGGAAACTCCTTATTATTCATTCCTTATCAGCAAAAGTCTAGTAAGAGTTGTCAGATATAACTACAGGTAGTCCTCAACTTAGGACAATTGAGTCCAAAATTTCTATTGTTAAGCAAGACAGTTGTTAAATGAATTTTGCCCCATTTTACAACCTTTCTTGCAACAATTGTTGCATGAATCACTCAGTTGTTAAGTTAGTAACAAGTTCTTAAATGAATCCTGCTTTCCCATTGATTTTGCTTATCAGAAGGTCATAAAAGATGATTGTATGACCCCAGGACATTGCAACCGTAATAAATATGAGTCAGTTGCCAAGCATCTGAATTTTGATCACGTGACCCTGGGATGATACAATGGCCATAAATGTGAAAATCGGTCATAAGTCACTTTTTTCAATGCTATTGTAACTTTGAACGGTCACTAAATTAACTGTTGTAAGTTGAGGACTACCTATAATTGTCTGTCTTAACCTTGGTTAAATAAGCTACTTTGCATTCCTTCCTTATACTTTTAATTCTTAATCCTTTCACAAAGAGCCTTCTTCAAAATCTTAATAAAACTCTTTTGTACATCCAGTAAAAATATATTCATATCTCTTTTCTGGTATGATAATTATAGCAGTCCTTGATTTATGACCACAACTGAACCCAAAATTTCCTTTGCTAAGTAAGATAATTGGGAAGTGAGTTTTGCCTCATCTTACACCTTTCTTGCCACAGTTGTTAAGTGAATCACTTCAGTTAAGTTAATAAGTTGTTAAGTGAATCTGACTTATCCATTGACTGCTTGTCAGAAGTTCACAAAAGATGATCACATGACCCTGGGACACCATCATAAATATATGCCAATTACTGAATTTTGATCATGTGTCCATAGGCATGCTGCAACAGTCATAAGTGTGAAAAATGATCGTGTCATTTTTTTCAGTGCTGTAACTTCAAATGGTCATTAAATGAATGGTTGTAAGTCAAGGACTACCTTTCAAATGAAATTGAATGATGCCTAAAGCAGATCTGTAGGCATCATTCAATTTCATTTTAAAGTTCAGTCCATCTTTTTCTGTATCCTTTTCATTACTTGCTACGTTTCTATCCATATTCAAATACATTTCAAATTTATCTAAAGCATCTTGTTCTTATTGGTTCATATCGAAAGTCTTATAAAATTTGGCCAATAGGATTTTTAAATTAGGCTGGTTCATTCAAATCTACATTTATACTGCTGGGTCTGGTGGCTCAGCAGACTGATAGCATTGTGATTAACACCAGCTGTCTGCAATTACTGTAAATTCGAATCTCACCAGGCTCAAGGTTGACTCAGCCTTCCATCCTTTCTAAGGTAGGTAAAATGAGGACCCAGTTTGTGGGGGCAATAAGCTGACTTTGTATAAATATACAAAAGTATGAAGGGTATTGCTTAACGCATTGTAAGCCGCCCTGAGTCTCCGGAGAAGGGCGGCATATAAATCAAAATTTTTTTAAAAAATTGTGCCTTAGGATAAATCTAATGCAAATGTTACTATATAGCTATACAGCATTTGTCTATTCTTTCTTCTGAAGCCAGCCTGAATAAAGTTTGGTTTTTTTCCAATGTAGCATCCTTTTTCTTGAACAGCTTCCCAGTAATCTTGCTGAGATCAATGTTCACATTTCTTCTCTGAAAGTCCCTGACATCTGTTTGGCATTTACATTCCCTTCAGTATCTATTTTTTACCATCTCTTCTCTTGCTCTTTAAGATGCATAGTGTCAAAAATTGTGTTTTTGGCTTCTTATATTTATACTACACAAGAAATTGCAGTTGCTATCATATATAACCCTCTTGATGGTTTTCTTTTTAACACCTTTTGTCCCTTTCCTGTACAAAAATCAAGGTCATAGGGGAAAAAAGATCCTAGTGGACAGACATGGATTGAAATAAATATTTCAATTCCAAATAATTTATGTGAGCAAGCGATCAGCCTACAGGACTGGACATTCATTTCTATGTTATTTTATATCTGCTACTAACAAATAATCAGACAAAATAAGGTTTTCTTCAAATACATCTATATTGGTCAAATGTAGTATAAAATCAGACTTTTTGTTTTTAAACACATTATAACAAATTGAGTTCCCAGATAGCATTTTTTTTGCTCTTATAATATATAAAATGTTTCTAATTCTTATTGCTTTTTATCTAAACTCTGCTGTAGGTTCCTGAGCCTACAATTTTTGACTGGGTTTGAATGAGATCATCATTTGTTTAAGAACCAATTTTTAAAGGATAGTATTTAAAGGTCTGAAGTACCATCAACATGTTGATGTTACTCAGCTTTTATCTCACTAGTCTAAATCAGACAAATGATGCTGTCAAAGTTCTCTCCAGATGCTTGGAGACTTTGAGATTTTGAGTGGGAGAGAACAAGCTTAAAACTCAGTCCTAGTAAAAGGAATCACTATTTTTCCATCTAGTTGCTTTGTCTGTTTCAAGAGTCTCTCTTGATGGGGTGGCACTTTCCTATCATGATAATATCAACGTGATGAAATGTCATGACATAATTGCACAGATTATGTACACAACATGATGTTTGATGTCATTACATATGTGGGGGGTTTTGCCCTCTCCTTCCTTTTGAGGATTTCCATTTTTATGGTGAAACCTTATCCTTGTGCATTAATACTTTCTACTGAATTTAATAGGGCTTGTTCCCTAGCTGGCTTAGTCAGTTTACTGTAATTAATTAGTAAAATATTTTTTTAATGAGGAAGAACACAGTTTCATTAGTTGAGCTACATGCTTGCCAGATGAATTTAATTTACAGTGTATTAATCAGCACCTAAACACGGCTTCTTGTCCCCTTTTCTTTCGTTTCTGTCCAATTTCCTCTTCTCACTTCATTGCCATCCAGTTTTGGCCTCTGCTTTCTCTTGGCTTTTGTTTCCCTTCCCCGTCTCTGTCACATTTTTCTTCCTTCTTCTGTTGGAAAGAGAGGCAGGGTATGTGCATTCTTGCCAGTAGTTGTGTGTTCTCCATTAACAAGGGAACTGTTTATACGGTATTTCTAGATAGGGAATCAATGTCATAAACGGGATACCTTGTTTTATCAACAACGACATTTAATAATGATACTATACATTTTATGTTAACTTTGATTTCTTTTTGGCTCAGTTCTTCCTTTTGGGAGGGTGGAGGAATGTGGCTTCTAGCAGGTATATTGCCAGATTTTACACCTGGCCTCACAATAAATTACAACACTCCTTATTCAGCGCTAGGCTTATTTTGGCAGAAGATTTGCAGACATATCTAGACAGGAATCTTTACTGCAGATAGGAATGAAGCCTTGGGATGATATGGCCCATTGCAGTGCAAGGAAGTTGTTTATGTTGTTTATGTGTAAATGTGTATACATAAACACAGAGTTGGCCATTTCCTTGATGGGATTGAGAAGCAGATCTTTACATAATTGGTATTTTCTAGACTGGGTTGGTCTTGCTTTACCAGTTTCAGCTGCAATCATATATACACCAGTTCATGTATGCACAGAAGTCCAACTCATGCCTACATTTATCAGAGTGAAGAAAGGGAGTAATTCAGGGGTTTGGCGTCTCTATATAGGGTTTTCTTTGCATCCTATATTTATTTTATAGGGGAGGAGGAACAGGCTTCGACTCAACCCTTCCAAGACCGAGTGGCTGTGGATGCCGGCATTCCAATATAGCCAGCTGGTGCCATCGCTGGCCATTGGGGGCAAGTCATTGACCCCCACAGAGGGGGCTCGCAACTTGGGCGTCCTCCTGGACACATGGCTGCCTTTAGAAGAGCACATGATGGCCGTGACCAGGGGGGGCTTTTTATCAGGTTCGCCTGATATGCCAGTTGCGCCCCTTTCTGAGTCGGGATTCCTTATTCACAGTCACTCATGCTCTCGTCACTTCTCGCCTGGACTACTGCAACGTTCTCTACATGGGGCTCCCCTTGAGGAGCACCTGGAGGCTCCAACTGGTCCAGAATGCGGCCGCGCGGGTGATTACGGGAGCGACATGGCGCTCCCATATAACACCTCTCCTGCACGAGCTGCACTGGCTCCTGGTGGTCTTCCGGGTGCGCTTCAAGGTGTTAGTTCTCACCTTTAAAGCGCTCCATGGCTTAGGGCCAGGGTCTTTATGAGACCGCCTTCTGCTACCAATAACCTCCCACCGGCCAATACGCTCTCACAGAGAGGGCCTCCTCAGGGTGCCGTCGGTCAAGCAATGTCGGCTGGTGGCTCCCAGGGGAAGAGCCTTTTCTGTGGGAGCACCGGCCCTCTGGAATGAGCTACCTCCCGGAATACGGCTGATTCCGGATCTCCGCACTTTCCGTAAGGCCCTGAAGATGTTTTTATTTCAGCAAGCCAGCCTGGCCTGAATAGGTTTTATGGGTTAGTTTTTAATTGTATAGCTTGGGGTTTTAAATTGGGAGGCCGATTAATTTAATTTATTTTTAGTTATCTTAACTTTTATATTGTATGTTATTTTAATTTTCGGCTGTTCACCGCCCTGAGTCCCTTCGGGGAGAAGGGCAGGATATAAATTCAATAAAATAAATAAATAAATAAATAAATTTATCAAAAGGGGATTTTATCAGTTGCAGAGTTATCTTCCATTCTCAGAAATACGGCATGTTCTACAAACTAACCCATCTTTTTACTGAAGTTTTTTATGGGCCTAAGTACTTTGATCTGGCTATAAACTTCCTAAATTTAGATTTAATGTAACCAAGTTCATTTATCCACTGGGAAAAATGTGAGATGCACAAAAATAGTTCCCAGTAGATCTGTTTTCTAGAAGAATGTGCCATGAAAGTGGTTTGGCTTTCGGTTGATGTGACCAGCTTTTGACATAGGTCATTTAAAAAGTAGCCAAGATACAGTCATGTAAGATCCAGCCAAGAAATCAGGGACTCATAATCCATTTTTTTCAACTAATGTTTTAAGTTCTGGAACTTTAGTTTTAAATTTCTTTTACCAAACTAAATTCTCAGAGGACATAGTGGAAAGTAGCCATGAATCTAAATATAGACCATGAGAATTTGGTTTAGCAATGTCCCAGGTCACATGGAAATGCTAATTCTGATTAAGGTAATAAAGGGCCATCATTAGTATCTTTAACCATATGAAAAAAATGTTTAAACTTGATAATTCAACTGTCATTATGAGCAAGAGATGAGTAAATTTTGACGTCTCAATTGGGTTATTGTTTTTTATAACAATGGATTTGAATGCAATATATTTCTAAGTGTTCTAGATATATTCTGGGTTTTTTTTTCTCTTTTGTCTAACTCCAATCTTTAGATGTCTCAGATAAGATAGGGAGGTTTACTAGCAATAGATTTATTGGATTCATAAAACATTTATTTTAAAAAGAAATGCCTGTGAGCAGTGCTATGAGCAGTATTCATTATTGTCAGATTGATTCACAGCATTTGCTGAATTAGAATAATAGTTTTTACTTAATCAGATGGCAACTCATCACTTTGAAATGTAAACACTGAAGAGGGATAACATTGGTAAAATAGGGTTGCATCTTTTTAGCACAATATCAAAGCATTACAGAATATAACACATTTTTAAAAGAAAAATTATGGCTCTAAAACTAAGAAGTTTTGCATTGGTGATTTTGTGCTTTTCTCTGTTTGTAGGTGGAAAATGTGCGCTTCATTGATGGAATATCTTCCAAAAGAACTGCATTAGGGACTCTGTATCTAACAGCCACTCATGTCATCTTTGTAGAAAATGAGCCAGACAATCGTAAGGAGACATGGGTATGACAAGTTACTATTATATCTTGATAAATTCAGTGACCTGCACAGGCTGTGACGTACATTTAGAACCATAAAATGTTCTACAAATACAAAGGCAATTAGGTCTATTAAAACACTTTGTGAATATTTGGGGACTGTTCACTTCTATCTGTATCTCTAGTCATAAAAATTCCTAGCCCTCAAGGACCCTCTGGATCCTTGACTCACAGTGGAGAGGCCATTTACGCCACTGAGTCCAACCCCTCAGTCAGTGTCAGCATCCACACAGTAGCAGCTCATGGTATTCAGAGGTCTATTTTCTGCCTGAATTATGTTCTAGGTAAGCAAAAAAGTTTAAATCATTGAAAGAGCAAGTAGGTATGAAAGAACTTCAGTAATTCTTAAGTCTTCCAAACACAGTAACCAACTTACTGATCCTATCAGTCTTGAGCATTGTCCAGAGTGCAATTAGAATTCAAAAATATCTGGAGGGCAAAATATTTTTTTTTATTTCTATAACAACAGGTAATGAACTATCATAGTCAGAAGAGTAGTCTCTATCTGGAAAGAATAGATCTCCTATCCAAGAAGCCCATGCATCTCATCGAATAGAAAATCTGCCTGCTCTTGAAATTCCAAAAAGTAACCTCATTACTTCGGTTCTTCAAGGGCAGGGCCAGCTCAAAATATTTTGCTTCCAGATATCACAAAACAAATGGCATTCTCTCACTTTCCTCACAAAGATGCATAGCAAGTTCTGCTCAGGCAGAAAACAAGGTGAAGAAGATGAGCTGGAAATTAGAGCTGTGAGGTGAATTCCAGTAATTTCACTGGGCCTGGGGCAGCATTCTCCAACTGATGTCCATCATTGAGAGTATCATTCCTAAATCTGTTAGCCAGTAAGAACAGAATACTGGGACTCTTGGTTATGGAGGGGACAAAGCTATCTCTTTTTTTTCTTCCTGTTGCTATCCCCACCTTTTGAATGCTCTTCACATGTAGATTCCCTGCATATGTCAGTTTTGAAATAATTGCTCTAATCTCTTCCTTGTAGCATTCTACCATGCTGAAAACTCTATTTTCACCTTGGATTTTCTAAGTTGGTAATTTCAAGTGACCACAGATAGCATTTCAAAATCCTTTAAAGAATCCAGAAACCAAAATTCTGGATTTATAATCTTTTCTCTTTGAAAATCTCCTTGATTTTTAAACAAAGGCAAAATTCACAATCTCTAATGATATTTGAATTTCAGGGTGTCAGGCATATGTGAAACACATTCTGTGATTGTTCTAATTAAAAATATATTGAAACGAAATGGTATTTTTAAAAAAATACATTCAAACAATTTCAAAAAAATGAAACATTAAAATTTAGACCTTTTTGTTAATTCACTTGGAGCTATTTTTCTCCTCAGCCTGTCATACCTCGCAAAGTTGTTTTTGTGGGGAAATTCCCATTTATATTGTCTCAACCTGTTAGGAGAATACGAACTATAAAATACACAAAATGCTTATTTTTGGATCTCAGTGTACAACTTAATAATAGCTTCCTCTATGAGGGCTGGGTTTGTATGCATTCCTTCTAGTAGTTGTAGCTAAGTGATGTCCCACTCTACTAAGTGATCTTCCGCTCCCCTTACTGATTCAATACTGATTCAAATTCAAATATTTGTCAAGAACGTATTAGGTAATAAGTATAAACATGAATTGGATACATAAAATAGATACAAATAGAGGAAACATTAGGACAGGGATGGTAGGCACGCTGGTGCTCTTATGCACGGCCCTTACTACTCTTATGCTCTTATTCAGTTGCCCTTGCTCTCTGTGAGCTTGTATAGTGCTGAAACTTTGTTCAACATGCTACACTGAGCATTATGTTGTTTAAGGCACATCATACAGTTTTGATTATGTTGATTTATAAAATGGAATATATTTAGCTTCTCTTTAGATTGACTTATTTTTCTTTATCAGATTCTTCACAGCCAGATCTCTTCAGTTGAAAAACTTGCTACATCAGCTTCTGGTTGCCCAATGCTGATTCGTTGTAAGAACTTCCAGAACATTCAGTTCATCATGTCTCAGGAAAGAGACTGCCACGATGTTTACATTTCTCTGATACGTCTGGCACGCCCAGGTATAGCATGGAAATTCAGGAGGTACCCATGCGTCTGTGCTGGCAGTTGGCCTGAGTAAAATTACTTCCTTGTAGGCATGGGTGACTGCTCTGTTTTGTTTATAAATCTCACTCTTAGGAGGCTGAATTGTTTGGATTCTATTTCAACAAAAGTTTCCATTGATCTGAATTTATAGTCGTGAAAAGGCAATTCATAAATCTGTTTTCTGCATTTGATATGGTTGGTTGTTGTATTCAGTTGCATTTTCTTTAACTACTCATGCTCATGTTCTTCTTATTCCTTTTGCTAGTTCTCTGGTTGTTGTCTTGATCTTTTCCTTAAAGGCTGTTTCTGTTTCTGCTCTGGTACCAAACAATTCAGAATCTCCATTTATTTTTTAGCTAATTCAATCCAGATTTATCATTCTTTTATGTTTGGAATTTTATTTTTTATTTGTCATTTTCATTATTAATCTTGACATGGGACAAGAATGTTTTATGAAAATGTCCTTTCATTGTAGAAACTGTGTCTCCAATATAACTCTCTGGGTGATTTTACATGGATGATATATTTGTTGGAACTGCCCTCCTAAGTTCCCAAGCCTTCCTAATTTATTAGATTCATTTATTTATAAAAAATGATTGGGAAAATAGTTTGTTCTGAAGCAAAGGGCCAACCTCAAGTATAATTTATATTTCTAACTGTCTCTTGGACTATGGAGTCCATGAAAGCATTATTAAAAATAAACTATGACTGGCACAAACTGATGTTTCTTTGCCTTTGACTATAAGCTTTGCTTTGGCTGTAATCAATATGGCATTTGGCATCCATTTCTGTGCCATCATTTGCCCCTTCATTGCCTCCAAGTATTTCTAATTGTCTAAAGGCTCAATCCATGTTATGTCAGAATGTGAAAAATAATTTCAACTACCTTACATTAAAGTGGCTGTTTCCAGCATTGATTGCACTAGATAAAGTAAGTGTGAATCAAATCCCATCTAATATAGAATTAAAAAAAAAAACAGAGAGGAGAAAATAATGTTTCTGCTTTGTTCATCTGCTTTGTCTATCTGGTATAAATTAAATTACCAAATAATCTCAAGGAGAATATTGTATTGGCTGTCTCCCAAATGTTATCTTAAAAGTGTCCAGACAAAGAAAATGCAGAACTGACCTGAAATCCACTCTGTAATTATTGTTTGGCATTTCTGCAATTATAACTTTCTAAAGCAGTTGGCTTTATCCTCTGGATTTAAAAAATGAACAGTTGGAACAATTAAGCAAATAAATTAAGCAAATAAATGTTGGTGTTTTCCATTTTGCATTAATAATAACAACAGTAATTCTAGTGAAGAAATAGCAGCTGCCTTGTTTTCTTGTTTTCAGTGAAATACGAAGAATTGTACTGTTTTTCTTTCAATCCGAAATTAAACAAAGAAGAACGAGAGCAAGGCTGGAATCTGACAAATTTAATGGAAGAATACAATCGTATGGGAATTCCAAATAATTACTGGCAGATTAGTGACGTCAATAGAGATTATCGTGTGAGTTGCTGCTCATGAAAACGAATGATCTGAGGTCTAAATACTGTGATTCAAAATACTAGTGTGTGAAAGACTTCTGTTTCCATCACCTTCCTTTGGCTCAATTCATTATGAAATACTTGAACCAGTTAATATTAAGATATGTATCTTTGTAGTCTTCTGTATAAAACTTGCTTCATTATTTATTTCAGATTTATAAAATTGCTGTTTCCCTGCCATCCTTCCTGAGAAATTGTGATTTTAAACACAATCAGTTTCTGAAGTTAGCTTCAGAAACTGCCTTGATTCCATAAATACAATTTCCTGGCACATAAATCATGGATAATTGGTAATTGTTAAATCAACTTCTGGAAAGGGAGTGTAAAGGAAGGAAGACGCTTGTAGTATGTTATGTATTCCTGGATTGATAAAGTAGAGTTCCCAACTTGGTATCTTCCAGAAGTATCAGAATCTGAATAGAGCTGAAAGGGACTTTGGAACTCTTCTAGTCCAGCCCCTTGCTCAAACAGGAAACCCTATACCATTTCAGACAAGTGACCATCCAGTCTCTTCTTAAAAACCTCCATTGATGAAGCACCTTCAATTTATGAAGGCATGTTCTTCTACTGGTTAATTGTCCTCACTGTTAGGAAGTTTCTCCTTAATTTCAGGTTACTTCTCGCCTTGATTAGTTTCCACCCATTGTTTCTTTTTCTGTCCTCTGGTGCTTTGGAAAATAAATCTCCCCTCCCTTTGTGGCAACCTCTCAAATACTGGAATACTGCTATCATGCCCACCCTAGTCCTTCTTTTCTCTAGACTAGCCAAACTCAAATCCTGCAACTGTTCTTCATATGTTTTAGTCTCCAGGCCTTTAATCATCTTAGTTCATGAAGTATTCTTCTTTGCACTTTTTCCAAAGTCTAAACATCTTTTTTGTAATGTGGTGATCAAAGCTGGATGCAATATTCCAGGTGTGGCCTTACTAAGGATTTATAACATGCCATTAATACTGATATTGAAGAGTACTGGGCCTCAAACGGAACCTTGTGGTACCCTATTGCTTACTTCCCTCCATGTAGATGTAGTACCATTAAGGACTACTTATTGAGTATGGTTTGTCAGCCAGTTACAAATCCATCTGGTGGTGATATTTTCTATCCCACATTTTTCTAGTTTAGCAAGAAGTCGGTTGTGATCTATTTTGTCAAATGCCTTGCTGAAGTCTAAATATACTATGTTCATAGCATTTCGCTGGTCTACTAATTTAGTCACTTTGTCAAAGAATGAAATAAGATTGGTTTGGCATAATCTGTTTTTAACAAACCCATGCTGGCTACTAGTTATAACTTATTTGTTTCCATCATAGAGTTTCATAGATCTGTTTTTTAAATTATTTTTTCCTGGTATCTTCCCAGGTATTGATGTTAGGCCGTTGATTGATCTGTAGTTTCCTGGGTCTATTTCCCCCTCTTTTTTGAAAATGGGAACTACATCAGCTCTTTTCCAATCCCCTGGTGCTCCAAGATTTTTTAAAGATGTCATACAATGGATCTGAGATAACATTTGCCAGCTCCTTCAGAACTCTGGGATGTAATCCATCAGGTCCAGGTGATTTATATTCATTGAGGTTAGACAGGTATTCTCTTACCATTTTTTTATTTTAATTTTTATTTCTAGTCTGTCTTTTATAGTTATGTTTCTGGTAGTTTTGGCTATAGTTTCTTTTTGTGTGAAGACTGATGCAAAGAATGAGTTAAGCAGCTCTGCTTTCTCTCTACTCCATGTTACTTTCTTGCCATCTTCTCTCTTTGGTGGAACCAACTGTTTCCCTGACTTTTTTCTTGTTATTTATATATTGAAAGCAACTTTTTAAAAATTATCTTTGACTTTTGTTGCAAGTCTTTCTTCATTCTGAGTCTTTGCTTTCCTGACTTCATCTTTGCAGATTCAGGGTTTCTGCTGATACTCTGCCTTAGTTATGTGTCCCTCTTTCCATTTTTTTGTACTTATCCTTTTGTCTTTCAGTTTATCAGAGAGATCTTTGTGCAACCATGCTGGTTTCTTCTTGGATTTCTTGTTTTTCTTTTTCAGTAGTATTGTGTTGGACTGGACTTTTATGATAATATCTTTCAGTGTTTCCCACACTTCTTGAATTGTTTTCTCCTTTAGGATTTTTATCTATGAAATTTTGCTTAGGCTCTCTCTGAGTTTGTTAAAATCAGCTCTTTTAAAGTTTAAGGCACTGGTTGGATTATATTCTATTGCTTGTGTTTGCTTTATATTGAATTCCAGTATGATGTGGTCATTCTTGCCCATGCTTCTGGCAACTTCAACTCCCTCTATTACTTCCCTATTAGTAAGAATTAGGACTAGTATAGTCTTTCCTCTTGTTCCCTCCTGTACCTTTTGGATGACAAAGTTGTCAGCTAAGTTGGTTAGGAATCTGTTTGATGTCCTATTTGCTGCAGAGTTTGTCTCCCAATTGATTTTAGGGTAGTTAAAGTCTCCCATTACTACCCTGGCATGTTTCCTACATACATTTGTTAATTGATTAGCAAAGAGTTCATTTATTTCTTCTGCTTGGTTGGGTGGCCTGTAGTATACACCTATAGCAATGTCATTGTTTTTCCTTTTATATTGATCCATATGGATTCTAGGAGGTTTTCATCCTTGGTTTTGTATATTTCTGTAGAGATGTAGTGATCTTTTATATACAATGCAACTATGCCTCCTTTTTTATTAGGCCTGTTTCTTTTGAATAGTTTGTATCCTTCTATCAGTACATTCCAGTTGTGAGTTTTATCCCACCAAGTTTCAGCAATGGCAACTATATCATATCTGCCTTCATGTACTAATACTTCAAGTTCACCATGATTGTTCCTTAAACTTTGAGCATTAATGTACAGGCATTTGAGTCCTTTTATGGGTCTGGAGTATGTTTCTTATATCTCCTTGATAACTGGGATTTCCATCCTTTCCATCACTCTCTACTTCATTATGTTTTTCTTTTTTTATTTATTCTTTCTCTTTACTCCCTTATGTGATTGGTTATCTAGTGGTTTTATCTTCTGTTGGACTATAGATTCCAGAAATTACATCCAAAATCTGAACTGTTTTTGAGGAATATAGTGTTGGATTAATATCATGTTTCATGATATTATGTTTCATCGTTAAACACAATATTGCTCAGAGCAGGGGTGAAATACAGCAGGTTCTGACAGGTTCTGGAGAACTGTTAGCGGACATTTTGAGTAGTTCGGAGTACCGACGAATACCACCTCTGGCTGGCCCCAGAGTGGGTGGGAATGGAGATTTTGCAATATCCTTCCCCCAGGAGTGGGGACGGAATGGGAATTTTGCAGTATCCTTCCCCTGCCAAGCCCACCAATCTACACCATGCCCACCAAGCCACGCCCACAGAACCGGTAGTAAAAAAAAAATAGAATTTCACCCCTGCGCAAAGATGTTGCAGAGAAAAAGATCATGTAATCTGGTCATTTTTGCAAAAAACCCGAAATAATCTTTTGCAGTTTTTCTGTTGGTAAACTTCAGATAGACAAAGTCTAAACCTGTCAGAATTTCCCAATAGGCCTCCAGTTATAAAAGGTGCGTCATACTGTTTAGATTATTTGAAGATTGATTATGGTAATATATAGCAGGGCAAGAAAGTTTGTGCTTTTTAACATTTTTTCAGAATTGTCATTCATTCTTCTTGTTCACTGCAAGTGTATAAAATAATTATTTGTGAAGCAGTTTGGAATAATTCATTGCAGAGTGTTTGAAAAAATAAATATATACAACAGTATTTCTCAACTTTGTCAGCTACCAGAATTGTCCAGCTAGCATGATTGGCTGGAGAATTCTGGGAACTGAAGTCCACACATCTTAAAATTGGCAGGGTTGAGAACATTGCTATACAGCAGGGGTGCCAAACTTGCCGCCTGCGGCCTGGATGCATCATGCGCTGGCCATGCCCACCCCCCCGGTTTTGCAAAGGGGACAAAAGTTGTGATACATCACGTGACACCGTGACGCCGCGAGTTTGACACCCCTGCTATACAGTATAGACTGCTTGAACAAATCAGTAAAAAAATTTTCAGTTTTGCTTTCTTCTATTCTGGGACAGGTGTGTGATTCATATCCTACTGACATCTACGTACCCAAATCAGCCACTGCTCATATCATTGTGGGAAGCTCTAAATTTCGTAGTAGGAGGCGTTTCCCAGCACTTTCCTATTACTACAAGCAGAACAAGGTAAGCATGAAATTAAAAATTTAAATAATTGATTCAATATGTCCTGATTTTGAGTATTGAAATAATTTTGACAGAAATTGTGTCAAGCAAGATTACAAAAATATCTCCCAGTCGAAGGATGGGACATACCTTATCTGGCTTGACTTCTTTTTAAAGATGGAGGTTACTATAGTCCTGTTATAGATAAGAAAAATTCATAAATTTGCTGGCCAAATTATTAGAAATTTTACATTGATTAATTGATCGGATTTTAATGACATTAATCTTATTTTTTTCTATGCGATTCAGGAAACACATTTGATTGGCATTGTATCATCTGGAAAATTCAAAATGGCAGCTTGTGACAAATAAATCATAAAAGTCAGGTTGCCTTGAGAATACAAAAGGAACTAACCACAACCAGAGTGTTATAACCAAGCTTGAGCGTACTAAATATTTTCACAATAAAGCATATGGTTGCTCTTGTCTCTCTCTCTCTTGTTATCTCCTAGGCTTCCATATGTCGCAGTAGCCAACCTCTAGCAGGCTTCAGCGCTCGATGCCTCGAAGATGAACAAATGCTACAGTTGATCCGAAAGGCAAATCCCGGAAGTGATTTTATCTATGTTGTTGATACACGCCCCAAAGTAAGATGCTTCAAATTCTGTTGTCTTGTTTTATGCTGAGTGTTGGCTAAAATGTCCCAGAAATTCTGAAATTTCCCTTCCCCCCAAAAAGTCAAAGCTCATTAAAGTGAATCAAACTGTTTTTAATTGCACTGAAGGGAAGCTCTGTTTGTAAATCTCAGCAAATAGAAATATTATTTTATTAGGTCATTAGCAACATATGCTTTGGTCTGGAAGATTGCATAGAAATGGAAATTGTGTTTACAATCCTAAAATTAGTTTTCTCAGTAAGCAAATGTATTAATGAATGGGGAAGGGCTGGAACTGGAAGAGTTGATGTTCCTGATTATCAGTGATGGGATTCACACCAGTTTGGCCAAACTTTGTAGTTAACTTTGTGTGCAGTTCAGAAAACCGGCTGAATCACCACACCCGGCCCCGCCTTGTGGCTTGCCCCTCTCCTTCCAGCCACTCCTCGCCTCACCCGGCCTTTCCTGAGGTTATTTTGGTATCTTGGTGGTCCTCTAACCAACCTCCCTTCCCACTCCAAGGTCTGCACAAGCAAAATTCTGAGGCAGCTCTGACAAGGCGCTCAGAGGGAGGGGCTGCAGCTACTAAACAGGCGGCCAAGCTAAGTGCCTCAAGGACCCCATCCATCACCAGGAGTCCAGGTGCCAGCAGATGGCAAGCGATGCCTCAGCTGGGCTCCTCAGCAGACAACGGGTTTTGCAGGGGCGGGGGTGATCAAGTGGCTGGGGCTGGTTCTGGCCTAAGGAGGCCGGAGGCATCGTTGGGGCTCCTGCGAAGCAGGTCTCAGGCCCGGTCCCCATGCCGCACCATGATCCACAAGCTGCTGCTGGCACTGTGCGGCTACCCAGGCAGCCTCTTTATGGGCGGTGGCCTGCAGGTGGACAAGGCAGCAGCCCTCCCTCCCTCTACAGGGCTGGCCCAGTGCCCTTCCTCCTCCTTCTCCTCCTCATCTGCAGGTGTCCCCAGAGCTGCTGCTGTTCCTGCAGCTGGGCGAGGCCGCCCTCCTGGCCCGCATCTGCTGCTTGGGTGTGCTTTATATTCACCTGCATGAGTTCATAGAGCAGTTCGCCAAGCACACTCAGCTGCCGCCCTACCGTAGGTATGCCCTTCCCAGCCTGTGTAGTGGACTGTGGCACCGGGTGAGCCCAGAGAGAGAGATGAATGGGTGACTGGGCGTGTGGCTGACACTTGGCTTCCAGCGCCAGAGAGGGCAGGGAAGGGAAGTGGCTGGGCTACTGCTGCCTTTCATTGGGGTGCGTGGACTGTTCTGGGACTCCTTTTGCCATCTCTTCTCCCCTTGCTGGGCATATTCCTGACTCCCGGCCCGACTGGCTTCTTCCTGGCAGCTCTTTCTCTGCCTTTCAGTGTCAGCTGTCAAAGATGGGGGTTTTGTAGGCAGAAGAGCTTTCTCCACCCACCACAGCCCAGTTGCCCTCACTTCCCCCAAGCATTTCTTTGCCTACCTGATTTCCAGCTCATTCATGTTTCTCCATCGCATTTCTCGCCATCGTGTGAAACAAAAGTTTGTGGGACTAAAACACTCCAAAAAATTCAATCAATCAATTTGAACTTCTCATGAAAAAAAAGAGATCTTGCGAAGTTGGAATTGATTGAACTTTTTTTTTTAGTCCAGCAAACTTGTTTTCCTTTAGTGACTTTCCTAAAGGCTTCTGGTTTGATGCGACCGCCTCCTCTGCCTCTTCTGTTGTTCCCTGCTTGAACATGAGCAGGAGAAGCAGACTGTTCAGGGGTAGAAAAGAGATGTGGGCGGGCGCTGTTGCGGGAGGCCTGTCCCACATATGCAGCGGAGCTGGAGGACCATGCCTCCCGCGACGGCCAACCTGACCCTGGGCGAACCAGTTGTTAAATTATTTGAATCCCACCACTGCTTACTCAATTAGTAAATAATAGTTGTTATTTGGATAAAATGAAAAATGAAACAAAATTAAGCTCAGCCTTGAAGTTCAGTCTCACATGTAGTTGCCCTTTAAAGTAGGTTGGTTTGAGACTATAACTTCTAGCAGACAACAGATCTCCTCTGCTAATGAAGAGTAGAAATTTGCAGAATTCCACTATTAAGCATAGCTTGCATTTCTTGAAATTGCAGAACAGTTAACAAAGATTCTGATTCACTTATGGAACACTGTGCAGACAATTGCTATTATAGCCTCACTATAAATAGAGAAGCACATAACATAAGATTTGGAAGCATTTTAGAGGTCATAGTCCTCTTTCTAATGCCAAAATCAATTACTCTATCATGCCTAACAGATGGCCACCCTGTATCTACCTAAATGCCTCCAAAAAAGGAGAGTCTGCTTCTCCCCAAGGCTGCCTCCTCCATTGTGGAATAACTTTTATTATTAGGATATTTTCCTTTTGCAGTCATAAAGTAATAATAAATATAACTTTATTTGCATTTTGTGACAAGCAGTTAGAGGGCTCTCCAGCTTTACAAGATTAGAGCATATGTCCAAAGGCTTACTTGCAATATGGTCTACATTCCCTACATTCCCAGGATAGCCTTTGTGAAAGGACAGTGTGGCTTGTCAAGGAAACTTTCCAGAGTGTTAACAGGATTTGCTAGATTCTAGGACAGGCGTCAGCAACCTGAGGCTCCGAAGCTGCATGCGGCTCTTTGGGCCTTCTGCTGTGGCTCCCTGTCAGGTGATCCCACCATTGGCTGGCCCCACCTCTCCTCTCCCAGTCACTCCTTGCCTGGCCTGAGAAGGTAAGGGCGATGGTGGGGGATGGAGAAGCGGCCAGGGCAGAGACAGGGAGATACTGTCAGAGGGGGAGAGAGAGATACAGAGAGAGGGGGGAGACAGGGAGAGAGGGGGAGAGAGAGATACAGAGAGAGAGGGAGGAGGGAGAGAGGGAGGAGGGAGAGAGAGAGATGTCAAAAGAATTTTGTGGTTCCCGGTGTTTTTTAACAACTGGTTCTCTGCCCTAATGATCGGCTGGGTAGGCGTGGCTGGGGGGATGTCATGTGACTGGTAGAAGTGAGTGACATTGAGTTGGCCACGCCCACCCAGGTTTTGTTGCTCCCGGTGTTTTCTTTTCTGTGGGAAACGTGTCCAAATAGCTCTTTGAGTATTTAAGGTTACAGACCCGTTCTAGGAAATGCATATTCAATCCAGCAGACCTATACTATAGGCCATACAACAATTTGTTGACCTTTGTCTTTTTGTTGAGTGCAACAGCATCCAAAAGGCTCTTTATGCTTCAACATATATTTGATTACATTGTCAGTACGTAAGATGAGAGAGACAGTCTGGTGTAGTGGTTAAGGCCAAAGGCTAGAAACTGGGAGACCTTGAGCCCAAGTTCTGCCTTAGACACAAAGCTGGGTAACTTTGGGCCAGTCACTTTCTCTCAACTGGGGGAAGCAGACAAACTTCTGTTTCTGAAACCACTTCTGAAATTTTGCAAAAAAACCTGCATGGACTAGTCTCAACACTGACTCGAAGGTGCGTGCGCGTGCGCACACACACACACACACACACACACACACACACACACACAGGTAAAGTGAGTTCTGTCTCTAGAACATAATAGCCTCCTTTTAAAGGAGGAATATTATTATTCCTCCTTTAAAAAGCACTCATTTTTAACTCAATGGTTCTTCTAACAAGTCAGCTAAGGTCAACAATAATTTGGCATTTTAGAACAGATCGGGTTAGTTCTGTATTCTGTGGCTCTGAAGGGAGGTTGCCATCTTCTGGATGAATTGTACAGTTGAAATCACTGTTGAATGTAAAAGCTCCAAAGTAGTCGAAGGCAAAGGTGACAGCAGATCTCATTTTTATTTCAAGGCTTTTAAAAAAATAAAAAATGCAGCCCGTATTTTCACTAATAAAACTCACAATCCTATATTGTGGAGGGCTCTTTCCTCCCTTTCTTTCTTTTCGCAAATGGTAATGTTTTTATTTCTTCTTCGCTATAAAGGAAAGAACATTATGTCAGAGGTCTAAAGGGTATTCTTTTTTCTTTGATCTTTGCAGCTCAATGCAATGGCAAACCGAGCAGTTGGGAAAGGGTACGAAAATGAAGACAACTATTCCAACATCAAGTTTCAATTCATAGGTATTGAGAACATCCATGTTATGAGAAGCAGTCTCCAAAAAATGCTTGAAGGTAACACCTTATCTTTGTAGATGCTGGGGGCAGCTTGAGATTCATCTGTCTTTTCTTAAGGATCTGAGCTGAATGTATATTAGTACCTAATATATTAGTATATTAGGGATTTTGCTTCATTAATACTGCAAAGAGCATTGCAATTTGAGCATTTAAGCCCATTAATGTGAAACAAATTTTCTAAAGTGAAGACGTTGCCTTAAATTGACCCTCTGCTTCAGTGGCCGTTAGAGCTTTGCCTGTAGATATTTTTCATCCTTGCTGTCTGATAGTGTTGAGTTGGAGAGTTTAGCAACTTAATAGGGGATCTCTTCAATAGGCGATTCATTTTATGAATCCTTCCTCTTGTGACATTAGAGAAACTTCTATATAATTGGCTCTGTATGTTTTGAAAATGCTTCAGAATAAATTTTTGTGCTAAATTTATATATTAGCGACAAAGAAATAAAGAGAGATTAGTATAGATCTATTTCAAGTTATTTAACTCTCATCAGCTAGCCATACCCTTCTGGGATTCGAATCTGGGCTACTTGCCTATTAGGTAGATGTATTAACCTCTAAGCCATGGGCTCCTCTCACTTTGTTGGCTATACCAGGGGAGAGATTAAGTGTTTAAGTAGAAGCAGTATGCTCCGTCCCACATTTGGGTAGACCAGGTTGCCCTGATAGACCAGTTTCACCGAAAAAACACTTCAGAAGAAATGTTCCTCATGAGCTTGAAAAATTAGTAGCTGTTTTAAAGATCTGATTCATTGAACCAGGTGTGATGATCTGACTTATTAAAGCAAATGTGGCTTTAATGCAACTCTCTAATGAGTCTGCATCTGTTTTCATATATGCTTGGAATCCTGAAGAAAGACACAACTGCATTTCAGCAGTTCTGGGCTTGCATCTGGAAACAACTCTTCCATAATTTTAAAAGTATGTGTACCTTAATGCAGAATATGTAATAATTTAATAATTACGATGATGGTCAGTTTCTGCTAACCTATTATATATGGATTACCCTTTTCTCTTACCCTTCTCATCCTACTTTGGAAAAAGAAATAAAGTTATATGGTATGTAGCTTAGCTTACAGAAGGTTTGGTTTATTTCCTCCACTTCTGACATACTGTTTACTGTGCTTGTTGTCTAATCAGCCCACATTCTCATTTCTGCCAATCCTTTTTGTACAATTAATGGTGAAAGACAGATCTTGAATGGCAGTGTGTCAAATCAAATGTATTTTTCCAATTTATTTAATTACCAGGGTTAAAAACACAGGGACAGTGACCAGCTACAACAAAGACAATGAAATAATCGTATAAAACCTAAAAATCAAGACTTAGAAACCACATACAAATTAACTAAAGATACAGTAAATCAATATAAAACAAGAATAAAATAGAAATTGAATAAGATAAAAAAGCAATTCAATATAAGAGGAAAGAAAGGCATTATAATATTATCATTTCAAGTCTAGGACATCTTATGCCTTCTTATGGAAATTTCTGCAAATAAGAATTGCAAGGCCAGTGGCTTTTAATGGAGACATTGCTTAGTAACTGAATTCCTCACTAAATTAGTTCACTTTTGAACTCCAGGTCAGCTACTGCTATCAGACCTGGCTGATTTAGATCTGACGTTTAGGACTGCAGTTTAGGACTTTGTGGTCTTTGCTCAGTCAAGTGGAAAGCAAATATTAACTCTGATATGGGAACAAACCTCTATTTTGACTCTATTTAGGCTTTGCAAACAGGAGGTAAGCAGTCTCAGAGTAAATCCAGCTGCTAATGGCTCGTGTTCCCATCTGCGTAGATGCATTAATCATTTGACAGGCTCCTTGCTGTCAGCAGTCCACTATCATGAGGGTTCTCTGAGATGCTGTTTTGAACATACCTTTTGTGATCAAGTGCAAAGAATCAGTCTCTTCACTGAATGATAAGATTGGTCTCCCTAGGCTGATGCCCTCCAGATGTGTTGGAGCTCCAACACTCCTAATTTTCCAACCCACAGGGGATAAGTACAGCTTGGCATATATGTAGGACATCAGGTTTGGCATATCTACATTGGCTTAATCTAAGGTTACCAGATCTGGATATAAAGGCTGGGTATTGGAACCCTTCTGCAGCCTATAGGAAAGGGATCTGCCACAAATTCAGATGTGTGGGTGTAGGGAATTTCACCAATTTGCATCCTGCTTGACATGAAAGAGTGTTTGATGGCTATATTCATGAATATAGCCAAGAAATCTATTCATGTCAGCAGCTGGGGAATGGCCAAGCTTACACAACTGTACAGTTCCTTTTTGTCTTCCATTTTAAGCTGAAATGCCAGTTTAAGAGACTGTGAATTTTAAAGAAGGAAGTGGCAGAGACGGAAGGTTTAATTCAGTGTTTCTCAACCTTGGAAGCTTGAAGATGGGTAGACTGCTGGCTGGGGGATTCTGGGAGTTGAAGTCCACCCATCATCAAGCTACCAAGGTTGAGAAACACTGGTTTAATTGAACCTTTTCTTCCAACATTAGTCTTTTAGTTGCTTTAAAATATATATATATATGAGTGAACTGAAGCCCTGCAGAAGATAAACTTAGTCCTGCTATTTTGAGGACAAAAACACCTACTGGGTTAAAATACGAAGAGACCTTGATTACAGCAGTCCTTAATTCAGTATCTGTTGACATAGCCTTTTCATTTTGGGGACTTTTGTTATGCATGTTTTCCCCAGAATTTAAAAGCATATGGCTTGCAGCAATGTAAGAAGTCAAACTAGTATATAATGCCTGGTCATGTTTGCAAATCAGTCAAGCAGCGAACAAGTGACCAACATGTATGTGAAAATCAATCCCCCCTTTTTAAGCTAGACTTACCATGTAAAAATTAGCAACTTAAAAAATTCTAGTCTGCTGAAATGGGCTTATTTTGCAGTCTGTGAGCTGACATCTCCTTCAATGAGTGATTTCCTGTGGGGGCTAGAGAATTCAGGCTGGTTGAAGCACATCAAAGCCATTATGGATGCGGGCATCTTTATCACAAAGGTACAATATATGCTTTGTAAATGAAAATGGGGATGTGCCATTTCAGGTAATGGAAAATCTTTGATTTTCTTCCACTTGCAGGGATGTGCTATGGAATAAAATTAATATGGTCCAGATCTGTGCCTCTCTGGCCTAGAGAATAACACCGTGCTGGACATAATGCTAGATGCTGTGCAGAGAAGTGCAAATGCAAATTGTGGCATAAGCTCGTGAATCTATTTTTGTCTAGCATAACTGGTGATGCCAATTTCCTGATATTTGTGATTCTTTCTCAAATGTCAGATGCATGCTTGGATAAGTGTATATTGCACTGTCAGAATGAAATGCTGCACCTGGAAATGAAGCACATTCATAATTAAAAGAAGCTCAAGGCCAAAGTGCAGAGAAATAGCGGAAAATATCAGTGGGATAAAAGGCAAGTCATAGTGACCCATTGGCGGCTTCTCCAAGGAGAGAGATGATGAAAGGAAAAGATTTCATGGTATATTTCCACCCAGCAAAATACGGTTATTAACTATGTACGAAAGCCTTTCACAGTGTATTACATTGGCTGCAACATTGGGAATAGAACTTCCTACTGACTCATACCATTGATCCATCCAGTTGTGTATTGTTCATATTTGACAGACAATGGCTACCCAAGGTGTTTCTAGCAGAGATATTTTCAGCTCTACCTTGAGATGCTAAGAGTTGATATTCCAGATACTTACTTCTCTATCATTTTCCTTTCTATAGGAATCAAAGATACATTCCTCCTTTCTTTCTTTCTTTTCTTTCTTTCTTTCTTTCTTTCTTTCTGTTTTAGGCTGTTGCTGAAGAGGGAGTCAGTGTTCTTGTTCACTGTTCAGATGGATGGGACCGGACTGCTCAGGTTTGCTCTGTAGCAAGCCTTCTATTAGATCCATATTACAGAACCATAAAAGGATTTATGGTAAGCGAGACAGCTTTAATTAGCAGAAAAAGGGATAAGTTGTGAGTTCATTTTTAATGGAATTAAAGTGAAATAATTTTTTAATAACATCAAACTATTTAGTGAATTTCCAGAGGTTTTTATCTTCCACATTTTGGGAGATGATGCACCACATTTTTGGAAGTCCATATTTGAGATCCATCTTCAACTATAGACTCAGTTAAGCAATCACAATTTATTGTGTGGCTAGCAGTTGTGCTTCTCGTTGTCCCTACATAAAAGCACTTCTGGCACTCTTGCTTAAGCTCTGGTGAAAGGCAAGGAAGTTGAACCAGTTCACTGTCTTGGAATACACAAATTTATGGTGAACAGATCAAAAGCAAGAACAGCTTTATGGACTACAAGAAAAAAAATCTGGTCCAAGAATGGGTGCGGTTTAGCTTCAATAGATGGGATACATATTTTCAAAAATGGGAGACTGACACTTGTGCACTTGGCGCAACTTACTATCACTCCAAATAATTGGATGGACTATTATCTCCCCCCAATTTCTATCCTATTTCTTATAACATTACAGTATAGTGTAGTAAATGCATCTTAAATAGTAATCATAATTTCCCCCCTTCCATCATCTTGTTCATGAAGAGATCTTGGAGTTTCAAAACATTCTGCATTCTTTTGTAACTCTTGAATGGGAAACTTGGATGCTAGCAGTTGTATGAAATAGATAGGAACGAACTACATTGAAGAGACAGAGACAAGTTAGTTGCTGTTCCATTTGGAAGCTCTGAAGCTTGCAAATTTTAATTTAATCTGCAGTTTAATGTTAACTTTGAGTTTTCTATGTAAGGCCAAAGTGGATGCAAAAGACTGGGATGTATTTAGAATATTAGAATTATAGGACTAGGGGGGACCTTGGAGGTCTTCTAGTCCATCCCCCCTGCCCAAAGCAGAAACCTTTATATGATCCTTGACAAATGGATGGCCAGTATTTTCTTGAAAACCTCCAGCAATGAAGCACCTACAACTTCGGGAGGCAAGCTGCCATGTTACCCCAATCCTTTTTTTCATTAGGCTAGACATACCTAGTTCCCTTAATTATTCATCATATAATATAGCCTCTTATCGTCTTTGTTGGTGTTCTCTACATACTTTCTAGGAACTCTGCATCTTTTTTGTATCACGACGACCAGAATTGGAGTATTCCAAGTGTGGTCTCACTCGTGCAAGGTAGAGTGGTACTATCACCTCTCATGAGTTTGATGCTAAGCCTCTGTTGATGCAGTCTAGGACTGAATTGGCTTTTTTGGCAGCTGCAGCACACTGCTGATTCATACTCATAGTCCAGTAAGACACCTACAGTAGATCTCTCTCACTGTTACCTGTGAGACAGGTACTGTCTGTTCTATACCTGTGCATTTGTTTTTTCCTGCCTAAGTGCAGGATCTTATTTTTCTCACCACTGAACTACCGTAAATCTTATTGGATAGGGTTCATTGCTTTAGTCCAGGAGTCAGCAACCTGCAGCTCTGGAGCCGCATGTGGCTCTTTCATACCTCTGTTGTGGCTCCTTGTCGCCGGCCAGCGCCACAATTTTGAGAGGACCTTCTGGTTGGGTGGGGGGGGGGGAAGTAAGGTGCACCAGGAGAAGATTCTGTGGCAAGGGGTGGGTTTTACAGTCAGCTCCACAATTGATAGGTTTTACAGTTAGGACAGGTAGGGGGAAAAGGACGCTGCGCTAGAAGACTTTATGGTGGGGGAAACTGGACTTCTGGTCAGCTCCAGAATTGAATGGGGGGCTTCTGGTTAGGACCTTTGTGGCTCCCGGTGTTTTCTTTTCTATGGGAAATGGGTCCAAATGGCTCTTTGAGTGTTTAACGTTACAGACCCCTGCTCTAGTTTGACTAAATCCTTCTGAATCTTGAGTCTATCTTTCAGAGTGTTAGTAATTCCCCCTCAGCTGGGTGTCATCTGCAAAGTGGATGAGCTCCACTTCTATTCCCTCATTTAGATAATTTATGAAGATGTTTAAAAGCACTGTGCTGAAGACAATCTTGAGGTACCCCACTGCATGCATCTCTCCATGTAGATGTAGATCCATTGAGGCTGAACGCTGTGTGCAGTTGGTCAGTCAATTACAAATCCATCTGGTGGTGTCTCACATTGCTTTATCTTATCAAGAAGTAGGCTGTGGTCTACTTTATCGAATGCCTTCCTGAAATCCAAGTATACTATATCCACAGCTTTTTCCTGATCCACTAATTTAATCACTTTATCAATGAAGATTTTTATTACACTCATGCTGACTTTTATTAATCATCTTGTTCATTATTAGGTGCTCCTAAATCCACTGTGTAATTATTTTTTCTAGGATTTACCAGGTATTGATGTCAGGCTGATTGGTCTGTACTTTCCTGGTTCCGCTTTTTTTCGAACATTGGAACCAGATCAGCTCTTTTCCAGTGTGCTGGCACTTCTGCCTTGCTCTAGGAGCTCTGAAAGATTTATTTAGTGGTTCTGAGATCACATATGCCAGTTCCTTTAGAGCCCTGGGATGTAAACCATCTGGTCCTGTCAATCTGAACTCATCCAAAGACGATTAGTATTATCTTACTAAATTTCTTGCCTATTTTGATGTGTTTTCCTATTTTCTCCTCTAACTCATAATTCTTTTTCCAATAAAAGCGGGAATCAACTTTTCTCTTTTTCTAATATAAAACATAAATTATCACTTTCCTCTGAGAACCTGGTTTGGGAATATGGGTATACATTTCCCTGACATATTCCCATGCAGCTGGCATGAACAACTGGCTTCTCTAAAAGGCTATGATGATTCAAATCCATCAAACTTAGATTCTGTTCCATGTGTTTCAGTGTTCACGTGTTCTGTCAGTGTGGCACGGAGATAACATTAAAAAAATATAAACTGATTTATAGCCAGTTAATGTTAACCTTGAAGCATTAAACATAGAGCAAAAACCATATAACATTATAATGTGAACCTCATGGTGTTAAGAATTATTCTATAAATGGATAGCAAATTTCCAGCATAGCAAAATTGTATGTTGCCATAAGTAGGCTGCCAATCAGTTTCTAAAATTCATAACAGTATGGTTACTGTCCCTGATAAAACCTATCCTTTTTATGGGGTCTAGGACAGCTCAGTGGGGCCAACTCACCATGGTCAGCTCGAGTTGGTCATGTGGAGTTGTCCTGCAGTGACTTGGAGGTGGCGAGTTGTCCCATTCTGCTTTTTCTGATTGTGAAATTTCAGGATTATTTTTAATAATCCAATTAATTAGAATAAGAAATGTAATTTTCTGCTTCGCTACAAAACCTCAATAATCTCCTTTGATGCTACTGTTTTTTGTTTCAGGTATTAATTGATAAAGATTGGGTTTCATTTGGTCATAAATTTAATCACAGGTAAGCATGGTTCTTTAGTGTGGGTTCTGTGAAGTGGCAATCAGGTACTTTGCTGCCAGAGAACATCAGATGAACATCTGAATATTGAATATTGACCATGGAACATTTCTGATAGCATCATGTTCTTGGTGTGGTCACTTGAGTCAATCTTGACTCTTCATAACTACATGGACAGGCTTATTTCTTAGTGCCATTTTGGAAGTGGTTGGCCAGTACCACTTATCTAAGGCTGAGAGATAACAATTGATCCAGAGTTACCAATATTTTTTGGTGTTGGGTGTAAGGGAGGATTAGAACTTGGGTCTTCCTACTCCATTCCTGTGCCTTAATCATTAGACCAACTTAACTTCCATATCTCATCATGAGTATAGTGAAATATAATTAGAAATGATATTAAATGTAAAGGCTCACTTTTAAGCAGGTCCAAATTTTATTGAGTATAACTGGCCCTTTTCTTAATCACCTTTCCTTTGGTTATTCAACTTTTGAAAAGTCTGTCTAGGCTTATTGGCTGGGTTTATACACCTCACTCAAGATTTTAATTACCGTTTATTTAAAAAGCCATATCAGTCTGGTTCACACATAACTCTAAGCATAAACTGTGGCTTATAAACTACAGTGGCCAGGTTCATACATTAGCCTATGTGAAAACCACACAAATCACATTATGCCCCTTGTGGTGATATATTAGCCCAATCTTCTTTCTTATTGGACTAATCAATATATGAGTAAAATCCATTTAGCTATTCAGGCTTTAGCTGGCTATGGGGAACTCTGGGGGGGAGGGGGCAGGCAAATGACATATGATATTACATAAGGGCCAAGATTTGGTACCTTCATCACTCATCGGGGCACAAGCAGGGGTGAAATCTACTTATCTTCCCAACCGGTTCGGAAGTGCACGCGCCGCGCATGCACTTCCATCACATTCATTATGTACACTGAGAGCATATGCACCAAGACAAATTCCTTATGTGTCCAATCACACTTGGCCAATAAAGAATTCTATTCTATTCTATTCTATTCTATTCTATTCTATTCTATTCTATTCTATTCTATTCTATGCACGCTTGGACCCTCTGCGCATGCGCAAACCCCTCTGTGCATGCGCAGAGGGTTAAAAAAAGGTTACTTCCTGGTTAAAACCAGGAAGTAATGATGACGGGGGGGTGGAGCCTCGCGCCGCCATCACTACCAGTTCTTCGAACAACCAGCTGCCATCGCTACTGGTTCGGCCAAACCGGTCCGAACCGGGAGCATTTCTCCCCTGGGCACAAGTATGCAGTTGTAGCAGTTGCATGATGATATCATACAACATATGTTATTTTGACATATTTGTGGTTACCTTCTAACTGACATGGATACATATACACTAGCAAATTTTATTCTGCAAATGAAGCAAATAATAGAACTGACAATTAAGATGGAAGATGTTGTGCCAACATCCAGAATTTCAGAAAGGTAACAGTTGTGAATTAATATTTTCCCCTGACATTGATGTAGGTATGGCAATTTAGATGGAGACCCAAAGGAGATATCACCAGTTATTGATCAATTTATTGAGTGTGTTTGGCAACTTATGGAACAGTTTCCTTGTGCCTTTGAATTCAATGAAAGATTCTTGATCCACATACAGCATCATATATATTCCTGCCAGTTTGGAAACTTCTTGTGTAACAATCAGAAGGAAAGACAGGAGCTCAAGTAAGTCACTTTATAAAATATATGTACACGGTACACGAGAATGACCCTTTATTCTGATAAACATGATTCTTCAATGGGGAATCTTAACCAATACATAAGAGAAAGTTGTCCAATCCTTTCAAACTGGTTATATATTAAAACCCCAATATAATAATAAAATAAAACCAGTAAAAAAATACTACTAAAGAATAAAAGATCTATCTCCTTGAATACTTATTGCAACCAAAAGAATTATCCAAAAACTGTTTTACTTGAAAGGAACATAATCAATCTCCTGAGTTCTCATGAATATAAGGTGATGTTCTCATTTTAAAAGTAAATTGGAAGATCGGAGAATTAACCCTTCTTTTTGAATAAATATAAAACATAACTGTAGAGAGCCTGAGAAAACAGTCTCAGTTGGATAGCTATGATTGTCTGATAAATAGGTTCAGAGTTTTTCCATGAGGGTTTGTAATTTTTCCATCTTAGTTGTCTTTTAAATTAATTAAATGACCTCTCAGTTGCTATTGTCAGAAAGTTATCATCAAAAAATATAGTTTCCAGAATGTTAACAAGGATAGAAGCCAAGAAAGTTGGAATTAAATAAAGCCTGGTTAGTTCCTTAGCAAATCTGCTGACCATGGCTCCCCTGCTATTGCCCAGAGTAACCCAACACTACCACCTATTGAGTTACAAAGAGCAGTAGACTGTGGTTCTTTGGCAATTTAATTCACAGAATCAGTTACAGAATGAGATGTATTAACGTTACACCTACCCACATCAGAGCACAAGCACTCTGACCAGCATCATATCTTATGTTAGTAAAAGAATTCCCATTCCTTAATTTTCCTGTGTTACACAACAAAATGCTTCCTTTTATTCATTCTGAATCTCTTCACAATTATTCTTGGCGGATGATCCCAAATATTGTAAAATAGGTTAAAACAAAACAAAACAAAAAATTACTCAGGCCACATGTATGTATAGGATGCCATAGTTTCTATGCAGTATTAGTTCTGTAGGCCAAGATTGTCCCTAAATTCCTTAACCATTGGCCATATCCACTGGGGTTGTGGTTCTAAAACATCTGGAGAGCTTAGCCTTTTTTATTACCTAATTCCAAATAGTTGAATTCTATCCTTCCTAAATGTGTGTCTACTTTTTTGACATGCTCATGAAGTCTTTCAATATGAGAATGAGAGAAATAGCAAATGCGGTTCATAGAATTTTATTATAAATTGTCCCTCAGAATTCAGGAACGGACTTATTCACTTTGGGCTCACTTATGGAAGAATCGTGCTGATTATCTGAACCCTCTGTATCGGGAAGACCACAACAGAACCCTTCATCCACAATCCACACCCTCCCATTTTATCTACAAGTAAGTTGCATCTGAATTGTTATATAAAATATTTGACTAAATGAGCTAACAGTTGTCTCTGACTTCAAGTATGGGCAAATATATTGCAAATAGCTGTGAGATTGATGGTAACTTTCACAAACCTTCCCCAATTCCTTCTTCTTTGCTGTGAAAGTGTAACACATTGCTGTATATAATAAAAGATAATTATATTAATCATAGATACTTTTAATTGGGATAAGGTGTTGTAAAATTGTTTCATTTCTGTCACATTGCTGTGGAATTTGGAAATGACGTTTTGAAGACAATCCATTCTTGAAAAGTGATTTATACATTTCAAATAATGCCTAGACAAAAGCATTAGATCTTCAAGATTGGTATATATGTCAGGATAATGATGATTGAAAGCTGATCAGCCCTTTAAGACTGAGGATGACTCAGCAGGATTATTGCCCTTTAAGAAGCTGCCTATATAAAGGAGGCCATTAGAGGGCGTCTCTCTCCTCGTGTATTTTCTCTCCGTGTGTGCTTCCAGTTAGAGTTGAAGATTGATTGCCTGGCTTTGCTTGGCTCTTGTAGGTATTTATATATAACCTGTAGATAAACCACTGTTTGAAAAACCTCTGTGTACTGTATTTTGCTCCTGGGTTATCTCAAAATAGTAGTCACACTGTTGTGTGAATATATATATGTCTGTCGTGTGACAATATATATGTATTGTTTTCTTTCTTAGCTCAGAATTAGTAATGTATATTATCATTAATGTGGAAGATGGAATTCTGCTAAATACAAAAAGAGAGAGAGAGAGAGAGAGATTTAAAATACGTTTGCAAGATATTGGGATTTTTATTTCTTTGTAACTCACGGAAAGAAATCTGCTTTTTAAAATTAACACCAAGCCATCCATATCTTTTTAAGAATGAAACTGGAGTACGATAGGTTTGGCATTATCATTAGACCTTACAGTGTTACAGAGCCTCTTAAAATAGTTTCTCACTCTTTTCCAGACAGCTCTGCTCTTTATCCAAGTGTGACTTCTAGTTAACCCTGCCACTGATCTACTTATAATGATGTAGATTCAGAGGAATTAGGTAACATGATAGTTCAGCCTCATTTAGGCTGCCCATAACATGTTTGTTGTAATATAGCTTCTCCAAGAGTTGCTAGACTTTCAAAAGACTTAAAAACATAATTTTATGAACAAAATTAAAAGGAAGATTAAAGCTAATATAAACTAGTATAAAGTAAGAAAAAGAAAAGAAAAAAAATCAAAGAGAAAGTTGAAAGTTCAAGACAGGAAAAAATACCCTTAAAAAGGGGGGGAAAAATAAAAAATTCACATTTCCAACATAAACTTGAAGTAAACATTCCCATTCTAGACAATTTCTCTGGTGATGTATACCGATCTTATAAAAATCCTTGTTAAGATTATAATAATTGGAAATTTCAATCTTTTGAAGCACATATTTTCCTGTTGTTCCATCTGTATATTATAACCAATTTTTAGCCTCTTTATCATACATTCCTTCACTTGTTCTTCTGTTTCAAATTGTCCTATAAGTATTTCAAGAACCAACAAACACAAGAGGGAGAAGTGGCATTCCTGTTTTGTTCCTTCTTTAAGGTTTTGTTTAGATTTCAATTAACAATTATTTGTGCTTTCTGCAAAATGTAAATAAATCTTCCCCATATTATAAAATTTTCTAAAATCAAAACCCTGAATAAGAAAGCCCAGTTCAAATTGTCTGCTTCTTAGGAAATTAATGTGACTTGTTTTTATTGTGTTGTTGAAAATATTCTGAAATGTCCAACACATTTCTAACATTGTCTTTTTATTCTTTTAGGTAAAAACTACATTGATGTGAATAAATTGTTGCAAATTCATTTTCATATGTTTGCTAGTGTAAGCATTATCTGAAGTTCATCAGCCAAGGACTGTTGATGACTTCCTTACATTTTGAAATGAAATGAACTTGTGGGCTATAAAGTGTCCATTAGAAATGACATACATGACACTAACATAAAAAACATTTGGCAGTTTCACTTCCTGAACAATGGAATGAGAATTTGCTTCCTAAAGTTGATTACAGCAATAAAACTGCACTTAAAATATTCGGCAAACTGGATTACTTCATGCTAGAAGTTTGGGAAGAAAGGCTTCACATGTGTATTTCTTGGAAATATTTAATCCTTCAACCAAATATTTGTATCAGAAAACAAGTAAGATAGGCGTTGGCTATTTTATTAATTTTGATGCAGGATTTCTACTGACACCCCCCCCCCCCGGCTCCACAAGGACAAAGTCAATCTGAGTATAAGCATTACATCAGTTATGGGAAAATGCCAATCTGCTAGGTTTTCTCATTTCAATAATTGGTGTAATTCTGGCATTCAGAGTAACTTTCTGTTTATCAAAGTTCTCATGCTCATCAGACTTCAGTAAAGTGAGATATTACATTTAATGTTATTTAAAGTTACACAGATAGCATTTGACACTTTAATCCTACAAAATTGCACTATCTTCATTTTTCAAAATCAACATGATGTGATCCACTTTGCCAAAGTGAAAAAATCTTTTACAGTCAGAATATTCTGAGAAATAAAGATCTGTGTTTTCATACTTCTGTGCTGTAAAATGGTCTATATGGTCTATAAAATGGTCTCAGCAATTTTAAAAGCTGAGAGAACTCTTTCCCATTAAATGTTTCCCTGGCACAAGAGGCTCGTGTTAATTTGTTTTACACTGCGCAGTGCAATTCTGTTAACTTCTCTAGGAGCAAGTTCTGTGGGTTGAATAACGAGACTGACTTTTGTATGGGCTTCTATAGGTTTTTGAATCTTCTTTGTTTCATTTTCCAGGTTTTGGAGTGGAATGTACAACCGTTTTGAAAAGGGACTCCATCCAAGGCAGTCTATTACAGAATATCTGATGGCTGTGAAAGAAGAAACTCAACAGTTGGAGGAGGAGCTGATGGTATTAGAAGAGGTATGCATAATTGGTTTTCTAGAACTATAAAATTTATATATTGCTGTTTCACCCCATCTTTTGAGCATGATTGGCCATTGCCATATGCATCAATTCAAGTATGTTTCAACATCAATGCAGTTGATCTGGGTATCATTATTCACAGGTAGATGTAATTTTTGAAAGTTTTCTAGCTGAAGCATTGAGTAGAGGATTATATTTCCTCCACCTCATATTTGGCAATAAGAGCTCTCTACAGCAGTATTTCTCAGCCTTGGAAATTTTAAGATATGTGTACTTCAACTCCCAGAATTCCCCAGTGAGGCTTGCTGGCTGAGGAATTCTAGAAGTTGAAGTCCTCACATCTTAAAATTTCCAAGGTTGAGAAACATTGCTCTACAGTATATTTTTGAATCAGCTATTTATTTCTTTTACCATGATAACAGCTGCTAATGAGTGAATTATCTACTTCCGGTACAATTTCAAAATCAATTTTCTTGTGAATCCTGTATTTTTCCGTCTGTGGTTTACAATCTATGGAAGACTTCCTTAGTTAAAATGAACAACAGGAATTCCAGAATTACACTCAATTTCTAATTACCGTACTTTTCGGAGTATAAGACGCACTTCCCTCCCCCTAAAAGCGGGTGAAAATTGCGGTGTGTCTTATATACCAAATGTTGCCGAAGCCCCACCCACACTTTTTCGGCCTCTGTGCGTCGCATTTTTATCCTCTGCACACTCCATTTTAGACCTGTTCCAGGCTGCGGGGATCGCCACAGCACATCTCCGCTGATCGCTGCCTCTGCGCATCGCATTTTCAGGCTCCGCACATCCCATTTTTGGCCTCTGCTAGGCAGAGACAAAAAAATTTTTTTCTTGTTTTCCTCCCCAAAAACTAATGTGCGTCTTATACTCGGAGCATCTTATACTCTGAATAATACGGTAATTATTGATTTCTCCACGTTGCTAGTACAGTAAAATTACAGTAAAATTTGGGCCTTAATTGGGTGAGCTATTTTCAAAGCAATTATTTCTTACCTTGTTTTCTTACTGGTCACCTCAAGTTTACTCTGGCTATTTTCAGGTAGGCAACATACTTGTTGCTGGGATTCTTACCAATAAAGCTTAGATCTAATTATCTAACTCTTCAGCGATTAGAGCAAATGCTTTTCTCCTTTTAATGAAAAAGGTATTTAATAGAACTTGCTGGAAGGAAAAGTTTTAGTATTTTGCAATAGAACCATTGAAATCAGCTCACCCTTAGTTAGGTTTCTAGGTAATCAATATTCAGTCTGTATGTAGCCGCTTCCTTTTTTCCCCCAGCCTTCGGGTTGCTAAAATGTCCTTATCTATTCCCTGAATATTCCTTCTTAACTCAGAAGGATAGAGCTGACTGCCACCTGCTTCTCTGTCAGATATCTATGCTAGATGTAGTGGATGATTTTGCTGCATTTGATCACCTAGGACTGAATGAGAACCAGTCCCATCTTTTCTGTATATGCATACTTAGGGAGAATTATTTTCTAGGTTTTTTTGTTTTTGTTTTTTTTACAAAACCTTCTAGTTGTCTTCAATTTCTTACTAGCCACAGGACTACATTCTTGTTCATTTTTTGTCTTTCCCATTTGACCTACTTATTATTGTGAGATTTTGTTGAGTAGTCAGGTGCTAAATGGCACAAAATGCTCCATGAACATGGAAAAATTCCTAGAAACTTGCTTTCTTCCCGTTCTATATAGTCTCTCACCTACAATTTCTTGTCTAGAGAAATCAAGAATAACCTTCCTTGTCAAAGAGAGACTTTAGAAAACTGCAAGTATATAAATCTGCAGTTTCTTAGGCTTGCTTGCTTTATTCACTCACTCACTTATCATTTACATCATTGACTAGTGTACCACCCATCTCTCCTAGAGGTAACTCAGCTTACATACTTTACATACATACATACGTAATAAAAAAGCATGGAGTCCCAAGAAAGTCTAACCTTGCTGCCTTTTCACTTATTAGTCCTATCCAATCCATACTAGATTTTGTAATCTTCCATTAATTCATCCCTCACTATTGGTTAGTAGGCTGGGATTGATGGATTTATCATTCAGAAATACATGAAAGGCCCCAGCTTCACATTGATAGGTTGGATATATTTTAACAGGCCAATGGATTTTTGTTTCTTGTCTTGCAGAGACTGGCAAAACTTATTAACAGGCAATTAAATAATGAGGCAAAGATAAAAAAGGAAAATGGAAGCTCCAGTGACTGCATGGCCAAATCACTCCAAGATTACACTCGGAGTTCTTCACAGGGAGATGAAGAAGATTCAGCGCTCATCCTCACACAGGACAACCTGAAAAGCTCTGATCCCGATCTGTCAGCCAACAGCGATCAGGAATCTGGTGTGGAGGATATGAGTTGTCGGTCCCCAGGTGGAGGAGGCTTACCCAGTGAAGATAGCATTAGAGACCATGATTCGGATGAAGCTGTTTTTCTCACTCTCTGAGTGATAATTTAGTAGATTATGAAAGACTGCCTATCAAAAGTTCCAAAGAAAGGGATTTATGCACTTAAAGAGTCCATATGTAACGAAGTAATAAGCTAGAATGTTTTTGCATTTATTATCTTCTGTTATCCATTTAGAGCCATATAGAATGAATGTTTTGTTTTACATAACTATTATCAATTGGATAATTGTACAGTAAGACCATTCCAAAGAATTGACAAGAAATGTTTAAGCAATGCCAAAGTCAATTCAGTCCAATTCAGACCAAACCAATACATGTTATCTTACCTTGACACCAAAAAAATATTCAAATGGAAAAAGCAAATAGATGTTTTCTTTTTTACAGTCTTGAAAAAAATTATGTTGAAGATGGCCATGTATGGACTTAAAATATTGTCAGAGATGTCTGCTTATTAAAAGACCATTGCTGAAGAAATTTGGAAAATTAAGATTGAAATAACCAGATACATTTTCCTAGATTAGTTCTATGACTTGATTGGTAATAATAACACTGTTTCTGTTGGTGCCTCTGCAAATGCTGTTTTTCCCATTTTTCTCTTCAAGAAATCTGATTTCAATTGAACACTGTTTCTGGTGACTATATGGACACATTCAAGTTTTCCTGACAGAATGGTCTACCAGTTCTTCTCCCAGGATTTCCTCCCTTTCTTCCCCAATCCTGGATTATTATGGGGATTCCCCCACCCACCAAATATTAATCAGATCTGACTCTTCCACATTTGGTTGTTGAATTATAGGACAGAAGGTGGGTCAGCAAGAGATTAGCTCTACCCACACTTAATATGTCCTTCATCCCCTTTGTAAGTTCAGGTTAATGTAGTGGGGACTGCATGTATACTTTTCATCTTCTGAATTATGGAATAGGATAGGGATCATGACAAAGGAGGTGGACATGGACACACTTATTCCCATGTACATTTTTTGGAGTGGACTATTGGAAGATGTGATCAGGGCATTTAGTAGTTTAAAATACTTTAATCCATATGCCATTCAAGGAAAGCTAGGAAATTCTAAAGAAAAAAAATATCTTTCCAAATTCTTTTATATTCATCCTCATCAGTTTGCAATAAATCACTGGTCCTTTCACAAATATAGGTAGTCCTTGTTTATTGACCACAATTGGGATGGGCAACCTGGTAGTTAAATGAAACACTGATTAAATGAAAATCACACGACCACAATAGCGCTTACAATTTTACTTCAGTTTTCCTTTGATTCGCTACTTCCTTCAACTGACCTGGGTTTTTTTTTTCTCTTTCTCTTTGAGGTTATCTTAGTTTGAGGTAAATAAGCAAGTGGGAATAAGAGCAGAGAGAGGATGTGAAGGTCATAAATATGGGTACTGATCACTTAAGTTGTTTTTTCTAGCACTTTTGTAACTTTATACCACCTGTAGGGTTTTTAAAACATTGAAAAAGCTTTCTCCAACCAGAATTAAATGTAATTCATTTACTCTCCAGTTACATATTTAATGTCCCTCCTCCTCCCCCCTTACCCCCAGCTAAAAGTTCTTATTTGTTACTTATTTTTTGAGGTATCCTCAAGCAGGAGAGTAGATGTAAGAATTTCAGGGGTCGCATTAAAGCTGAAAGAAGAACCTGGGGCCAAGCTGGCCAGTAAAAGGAAGTGTTCTTTGTAAAAGACATACTGAAAACTATGAGATTTGTATTATTAGACATGGTAATGGATATTAATGGTTTTAAAAGGAAACTAGATATATCTAGGGAAGATAAAGCTATCATGTCTACCTGGTTTAATGACTTATCTCACCACTCCAAAATTTGATAAACAGCAGACAGCAATTTAATTGCACCTCACCAGACCGTCTAAATCAGGCAAATGTAAGAACAATGGTTTGCTCTTTTGGTGAAATAAAGTGGGATCCTTTGGAGGCAGAACATTTTTCCAGTGGCCCAAATTCTACCAACTGCAAACAAGGTGCAATGCATCTTGACTGAAGTTCCATCATGAGATAGCTGTTTTGCATGTACTGTAATGATGTCAATTTTTTAAAAATATTACATGTTTATATGTTCATAACCAGATTTTAGTATCTATCTTACTTTGAACACAAGCTGTGTGTACTCCACAGGTAGTGCTGAACTTGAATACAGAAATACTCTACTGTAAAATGGCTACTCTATAAAGTATGAATTGATGAGGGTCAAATCTGCCATAAAAATCTGCATTATGGAAATACTGTAGAATATACCATATTGTGTCTTCTAGAAATTTTGTGTAGTGTATTTTACACCTGCAGCTATTCGTACTCAGCTCCTGTATTTAATACTCAGATCTTGCATTTAATAGGTTGTCTTGTATGGTTCCAATGCTGCATTATTATTAAAATTGCAAAATTAAAGATATAGTACGCACCAGTGGTAAAATCCAATTTTTTTTACTACTGGTTCTGTGGGCATATCCGGGATACTGTAAAATCTCCATTCCCACCCCACTCCAGGGGAAGAATACTGCAAAATCCCCATTCTCTCCCCACTCCTGGGGGAAGGATATTGCAAAATCTCCATTCCCACCCCACTTGGGGGCCAGCTAGAGGTGGTATTTGCTGGTTCTCCAAACTACTCAAAATTTCCGCTACCGGTTCTCCAGAACCTGTCAGAACCTGCTGGATTTCATCCCTGGTGCGCACTGTATACTGTTGGCATTAGGAATATAATTTAGAACATTATAAACAATAATGTTTAATTATCTAAGGTTTTTTTTACTGTTACACTCTAGAATCTTCCACTTCAAAGTGGTATTTACAATATGGCAAAAACATCCACAGTGAGCTCTTGAAAACTATTGTAAAAGTTTATCTTAATTGAAAACAAAATGACTGAATTTTATAATTATTCTGCTTGCGGCTGAAGTGGCACATCACATTAAGCTTTAGATGATTAAATGGGAGTGCTGTAATAAATATTATTTGTAGTCTCATGGTCAACCTTAAGCAAAGTATCTATCTCATGAATAAGCATGATGTCAGAATCCAATGTGTATGTTGCAAAAAGGGAGTGGCAACAAAACGTTCAGGAGATTTTTATCCTTAGAATGAAAGCTTTTGGTCATTGGTTTTAGCCAGCTACTTTAGGTTTCTAGTTTATTTTTCAAATCAAAGTCATGTCCACTTCTGCTAATGGTTAGAAAATAAATCCACATTGAGCTACATTTTTGTTTTCAGAAGAAAGTTGACTTGCAGCTTACCCTTTTAAAAAACATAACCCCACAGTTCATTCATGCATGTTGATAACCTAACTTCCCACTGGCTTTCAGTGTCATTTATCTTGGTATTCATCATATAAATACACTGTTACAGGGAATGGAATGATTTCTCAGGACTGAGAATCCACTGTTTTCACATCATAATGAATCGTCTCCCTTTCCTTTCCTCTTTGGGATCTCCATTGTACAGAGGCCTCCAAATAATAGGTTAGCAAAAGTCCCCCTTTAATTATATTTTTGTTACTGTTGATAAACAAAATTGAATTGAACCTGAAGACTTATTCAAATAGTGGGTCTGTGCTTGCTTCCCTGATTTTGTCTTCGTTGATTCCATCATTACCTGTGTTGGGAGTATTGTTATCAATACTGTGATATGATGCAGAGTTTTTATAACTATATAATCAGCCATTAATATAAGAGAAAAAGAATTTCTAATTCCTCAGTTATCCCAATACATGCAAAGCATTTCAGGATAAAGAGTCAATACAAGTGCACACAGGAAGGCACTATTCCTGTATGGAAAGAAGGAACAGGCTTGAAATGTAGGAAGTGCTGCAGACAACACAGCTTTTTTCTCTATTCATATAAACCCATGCTGATTCAGGAAGAACTTGACAGCAACAGAGCAAGAGTGTACAATTCACAACCCAATGATGAGCACACTTCACTTGGAAGAAGGCTTGATGCATTTTGAAACTCTACATTTTTGGTTGATTTCAAGTACCAGATTAAGAACAGTGTCTTTATAAATCATACTTGGTTGGATTCATGTAATGCGGCTATTACAAACACTGATTCATTAGCCACAATAGCTGAATTCACATTGAATATTAACAAAACATGTGGCTTAACTTGAATTACATTTTAAATTAAATTTCTAACCAGTAATTTTTCTCAACATTTCTAAGTGAAGGAGAAATGATTCAAACTTGGCATTTACAACAACAAAGAAGTATGGCCGTAAAGTCATAACTGGACTGTTTCCATTTACATAAAAAGACTAGGCAGCAGCAGTAAGAGATGTACAATTAAATAACTTTCAAACACGTATTGTCAATTTAAATCTAAAGACTGCCAGAGGGAGAGAAGCCAAGATCAAGAAACAAGAATTCTGAAGAGAACAGTAAGCAGCAGAACTGATAAAATAACCTAAATGACACGTAGCAATAGTATTTGTTCCACCAAACTTATTTATTTCCAGTTTAAGTCTCAAAAATTATCAGTACGTCCCAAAGTATATAAAGCTGAATTCTACAGTTACTTTTCCACATGCAGAATTAAATATTCTGCTTTAAAAATGCAAATATCAATACTGAACCTTTTTGGAGAGAAGCCCTATAAATCATTCACAAAAATGAAATTTATTCCTTAACAAAGCAATAAAAGGGAAAAAAAAAACAAAGTCATGAATGTATACTCCTAGACTAGTTTTCTGCAATATTATCATAGATTTTTGCCAATTATCTAAAGAAAAAAGTCCAAGGTTTAATTATCTGAAAAACATTTTGAGTTCTTATAAACATGCAAGACATAAAATTAAACTATTTTTATATGAAAATAAAATTCTTTGGTTGTATTTTTAGTGTAGGATAACCTCAATTTTATCTCTGTAGAAGAGTGATTTAGGACTGTGGTTATTTCACTACATTTTGCCAACATAATACTGAACAGGTGAATAAACTTGCTTATTTTATGTCTGATGCAGGGGACTCTGAGATGAGGGTTTGAGTCAATTCTATTGGATCTAAATAATATAGTTGTTGATAATATATATACTACATAAAGTTCTTCTTTCCTTCTTGGTTTCAAAAGTGCTTATACGAACACATGGACACACTAGGGCAAAAGAGAACAGAGATGAGGAAATAAAGCAAATGTAGAAATACCAAGAACTTATACAATCTACCCACTTATTTGCTTCAACACAAATAAGAAAGTAAGATGCAAGAATTGGAGAGAATTATGCCTATCTCCATTTGAAATTTGAGGTAGGATACTTCCAAAAGCAATGAGGGGCAAAATTAAAAGAAAGGCTTCTACACAAAATCATACAGGTTTCCTCTAAAAGTTCGAAGGGGTGTTTTTAGCTCTTCAGTTTCTTAGCTACTCAAGTCTGATTGCAGTAGTGTATACTTAAGTACTTGAACTCTATGTAGTGACATGATACAAAAAAGGGTGAAAACCTGATTTCAAGAAATTGAATTCTGGTGCGTTCTGGTAAAACCAGATGAAAAATCTACCTTATTTTACTTGTAACTTAGTTCAACCAACCTACGTTTCTATGCCTCTCAAACAAACCAGTCAGTATTTAATAAGAAAGTTATGGATTATGCTGTATAAAATTTAAAAATCTAGTCAAAATTACATGTTTAAATATTTAATCTATAAAGGTGATAGAGACAGCAGCATGAAATTAAATATGATAAGGATAATCAATAACAAGAAATATTAGTGCAAAAATGCAGTAGAAGTACATTTTGAATAAAATAAGAATAGAAAGACACTCTAATTTGTACAAAAAATCACCCCCAGCTCTATATACAGTTTTTTTTTCTATAAATACAACCATAATGAAATGCTTATTTGCAAAATAATAGATCTATGAAAATGTGCTTTGCTGGATTTGTTGCCTTAAAATTCTAATTAGCTGGAAAAAAAAATCTGTGAATAGAAAAAAGTATCTACTATTAGTCAAAATTCTCAATGCACACATACAAAACTTTGTTTTCTTAAATTCAGATTAATTTAAGGCAAAAAACTGATACATATCCTTTAATCCCTGATTGCACTGACTGTTTTCATAAAAGGCTAAACTCAAAAGACAAAGTAAAACTGCATATATTGTTGAAAGTTGCCATACTGCATGTTTTTTGTATCATAGCCATAAAGTAATTATCTTTAATGATTCCCCCTGCCCTTTCCCACCCCATTTGCAGTATTGCATGACATAATCCACAATGTCCAGGACTCTTCATGTCCATGTCCCAAATGCTCAGAAAAGCCTTTTTGGATGATTGTGGGAACTACTGGAGAATGAAATATGAGCATGTAAGCTTTGGCTAATTCCATTTTTTGGGGGGGGGGGCATTTCTTCATAAGCAATTGACATTGTTTCTTAATTGTGATGTTTTTACATGAAGCAATGTAAAATTTACCCAATTACATAATCAAAAGCTTACGTTCTTGTATGTGTGGTTTTTGTTCTGTGTATTATGTTACACTTATCTCTGGACAAACATACATAATTTATATGACTACACACTTGCATAATACACATAATAGGAACGTGTCCTACCAGACATTCAGAACTGGTGGACATTATTTATATGAATGTATCCTGATAAATTAATGTGTGTCAGGGAGGACAATTAGAATCTGCCTCATTTGTAACGTACCTATAATGGAGCATGAAATTGGCCACGCATTGCTATTGCCTGTTGTAGTTTTTCTTCTTTGGCTCTTCTACAGTGGCAAATCTAAGGAAGAACAATTTAACACCATGTTTTCTAAATTTACTTTGGTGGAAAATAATGCTTTTAAAACAATCAAAATAAAGAAACTTTATTTTACTAAATAAAAATACTAAATAAAATAAATAAATTTTATTTGACTAAATCTGTGTTCATCCCAGCTAAGCAAGCTTCATGTGCAGGCTTTGAGTAGAATAGTTGAAGGTGATTCATGTACTTAGGCTGCAATTCTAAGGACACTAAAGCTAGGACAAGGAATTACTGATTTAAGACTGAGCAAATGTTAGAAAAACATTTCTCAGTTTAAATAATTAGTTAATAGCACACACTGCAATATACATTATTCAAAAGCTATCAATAATAATATCAAGGTACATTCTTTCTTGGGTACATTCTCCTTGGAGTTTGCCATTAACAATGAAGTTATTAAATAAAACATACATAATTGAACTGTTCCAATGGAACAAAATTCAAAAGGATTCCCCAATGGAAGAAAAAACTTGACACATTAGGGATGTTCTTTCATACAGCCTCTTACTCTTGGCTCTTTAGCCCACTACCGCTATGGATGCGGTAATATTGACATTTGTTTTTAATCCTACCTACTTAAGCAATATAAACAACATACTATACCACTGTTATTATTTCTCTATACTTGCATAACACTGTGCATTGCAGATAGCAGGAAAGCGATGGGACAGTTGTATTCCTATAAGTTAGTGCATGCTTCCCAAAGCAATAATTTTAATGCATACTTAGCTTGCCAGAAATGTTAGGCAATTTGGCAAACAAAAGCCATTCTGGAGTAGGAAGGCTTAAGTATTAGTATTTCTCTGCTAAATACAAGAATTTATGTTTATACAGCCAATTGTGTCTATTTTTAAAACAGCAAAATAAACCTGAATTTTATTTATTCAATAGCTTTCAATTGGATTAATTATAATTTTATTTAAGTTTTCAAATATTTTGAACAATTAGGTTTTGAAAACTACATACTGTTCTTTTCTCCATGAAACTACTAAGAAAATCATCTATTTCTGTTTTCCCTTCCAGAAAGTCTTCTGCAATAGTGTCCGACTCCTCTTCAGCTTCATGGGCAGCCACTTTCAATCTTGCCTGCAGAGCACTTGCACTGCAACTCTGTGAAAAGAACAGTGTGTAACTTGGAAATGTTCAGTTCATTTCCCAAGGAGGTCCACAGGGATCCCCCACCCCTTGGCAATTTGCAAAGTAGTTACAACAGCTTGTACTGTGCCATTAACC